GAAAACAGTTGCAATTTTCCAAATTAATTTAAATTCAGAAGGTTTTAAACTAATATTTTTGAAAATTATGCCGAAAAATATAAAATTTTAAAGTGAGAAGAAAATTCCGCTTAACAATTATTTTGACATTTTATTTTTAATATACGAATATTCATCTATAATAAAGAAAAATTTTTGTTTATATTTGAAAGTTTTTTAACTAAAAGATGAATTTTAATCTTTCTTCTTTGATTGAAATTATTCCTCTCAGTCTCACAACTGGAGACTCTCCCCTTCATATATAATTATTTATTTAAAAAACTATTTAAGTTTTAAATAATTTTATTTGAAATTGAACCAGTTTAAGCAATTGTTGTTTTTTAAGTATAATAGTGTGTCTATTATATTATATATATTATATTATATTATTATTATGTGTCTATTATACTTAAAAAACAACAATTGCTTAAACTGGTTCAATTTCAAATAAAATTATTTAAAACTTAAATAGTTTTTTAAATAAATAATTATATATGAAGGGGAGAGTCTCCAGTTGTGAGACTGAGAGGAATAATTTCAATCAAAGAAGAAAGATTAAAATTCATCTTTTAGTTAAAAAACTTTCAAATATAAACAAAAATTTCTCTTTATTATAGATGAATATTCGTATATTAAAAATAAAATGTCAAATTCTAATTATTATTTTGATGGAAGTTATTCTAAAATTCAATTATTTAATGAAATTAGAAAAAGGTATTGTTTCAAAATTCATTGTAAACAAGAATTTTTGTAAGAATTCTAGAAAATATTTTTCTAGTAATTCTGATTTGTAATAAAAAAGAAGAGGAAAATGTAAAATTACGCTGCAAATTATTTCCTTTTCTTTGCCAGTGTATATATTTTTATCTTAAATTACTCTAAGTACAGGGATTAAATGTTAAACATTCGACATTCGACATTCGAACTACGAGAAAATATTCGAACAGCTCGGTTCGAATTATTTTGCACAGCTCTAATATTCTTACCATGAACTATCAAAATATGAAAGGAACATTATTATTTATTATTCAAACAATACTTTGAAGTTCACTTTAGAAATAATAATTCTGCGAAGTATTTTCAGTAAAAAACCACGAAATATAAAGCATGATGCAGCCTAATTGGCATGTCGAAAATTCGACATTCGACATTTTGGCGCCCCAAAACCGAACTGAACTCGATTCGGTTCGAATTTTGCACAGCTCTATTTCAAACCCTATACTATCCGAATCAACAAAAAAGTAAAAAATGATTTTTTGACACGTAAGGTCCCTTTTCATAGACCAGGTCACATATAAAGAATAAAGAATAAAGAAAAATGTGGCTCGGATATGAAACAGTCGTGTTGGTCTTAAAGTAAGAACGAAGTAAAGTTTATCAGTGGCATTCAAATTATTCATAGCATTAATAATAATTTTCGTAAAAATTCAATTAAGTATGTTCAAAAATTAAAAAAAAATCTCGTCAAAATTTATTCTTCTCCAAAATTAAATTATTTTCAAAAATTTTCCTCAATTCAATGATTTTTAATATCTAAAAATATTTTAATAAAATTTTTCAAAAAAATTTTGCTGCGATTTGAAATTTAACATATATCTTATTTGTATTCTTATCTGCGGTTTCCCATTTATGGTTCAATAGGACAGCGGGATCTTGATTTATAAATAATTAAATAAATAAAAGAATTTAATTATTTAAAAAAAAATGTTGATAAAATTCTAAGCAAAAATTAAATTATTATTAAAAATTTCACGGGAATTCAAATCTTTACAATTCTTTTATAATAATTCAATTACAAGTTTCATAAATAATAAATTTTTTTACAGAGATCCAATTATTTTCATAAATAATAAAATTAATTGCAGAATTTCAATTATTTTTAATACAATTTTATTCAAATTCCTCAAAAAAATGTAATAATTCTTGAAAATTTTATTAAAATTCGTCAAAAAAATTCAATTATGTTGATAAATTTTGTATGAGAATTCAATTTTGAGAAACATTCATTTATTCAATAAATTATTTATTTTTCTATTTAAGTAATTTAATTCTCGTAGAATTTTTTAATAAAAACTGGGTTAAAAATGAATTTCAGTTAAAATGTTAGATAATAATTGAATATTAAAAACATTATAGCATGATTTTTTAAAAATAATTGATAATTGAGTTCTTTCGAAGAATTTTAATGAAATTTTTGAAAGTGATTACCTTTTTCGAAGAATTTACTTAAAATTGCATTAAAAATAATTGAAATCCTGTGAAGAATTTTATTAATGATGCGTTACTCTTCATCATTAGTTCTGACATGTTAAATAATTGAATTTTTATGACAACTTTTATTAAAATAGCAGATTTTCATCATATTTGAATTCAAGCGAAGAATTTCATTATTTGTGAAATGTAATTGAATTGTTGCAAAAAATTTTTTTAAAATAATAACATTTTTCGAGGAATTTATTTAAAATTGTATTAAAAATAATTGAAATTCTGCAATTAATTTTATTATTTATGAAAATAATTGAATTCTTACAACGAATTTTATTACATTTCTTTAAATAATTGAATTTATGTGAAAAATAAATTCAGGGTTAAATATAATGAAAAATACATAAATTATAAATATAAAATTTTCATTCTGGAATTTAGATTTCCTCAAACTTAAAATAAAAATGAGAAGAAATAAAAAATTATCTACTGTTTCAAATCTTAGCAAAATTTTTTGCATCTCGAATATATTTTGTTCTGACGATATTCTGTTCAATGTTTTTATAAAGCCACTGTTCATAATTCTTTAATATTTGTAATCAAAAAACTAAAAGACTAAAAAAAATTCAGTAGTTTTGTCAAAAAAATAGTTATAATCAAATAACTAACTTCTGAATATTAAAATTAAAAACGGCCTGTTTATGTATATTGTTTTCAATTATCTATCTATGGCGTGTCTATATAGTAGCAAATATATAATTTCAAAAGCACATTTAATCACAATGTTTGAAAACTTTTAGGAATATTATATTCAACGCTCAAATGAAGGTAAAAACAAATTAAAAATAGATAATTAAATACTTTTCAAAAGAGGATAGAAAAATATTAACTAGTTGCAATTTTATTATTATACTGCAACGAAAATTTTATCGTAAAATAAAAAGAATTACTTTGTCATAGTGCATTCCATGTTTGAAATAAGCAATTAAGCACCTTTACATTCTATCAAAACGTTTGATAAAAAAAATATTTCTATCAGTAAATATTCTTTGCACAGGGAAGAAACAAATTATCTAATCTTAATTTTTCATTATAGAGATCTTTTAATCATAATCTTTCAAGATCAATGTCTCAACTTTGGTGAATTTAATTCTGAAAAGAAACAATTAAACAGCATCTGATTTTTTATGTTATAATACTGACTCCAAACAGAAATTTACTTTTATATTTAAAATTATATTTTAACCCTTTAAAGATCATTACATACACATTATAATATGTTCTTGAAAAAAATTAGTTCTATTATCTATAAAAAAATAATAAATCTATTGCATATACATATTGATTAAAGCAAGATCAACTTTTTTCACATGTACTGCAAATGACCGTTAAAGGGTTTAAGGTTTTTCGTTTCTGTCAATTCTGTCAATTCTGTCAATTCTAAAAACTCTTTGGAAAATATTTATTTTATTTTAATATTTCTTCTTTAAAAATTCCTCCCTAATTAAAATATTTTTGCTCGCTTTTGTACAAGGAAAAAATTTTGGTGCATCAGACGTACTCATGTACCGAATTTTTTTCAGTGCATTGACAAAATTTTTTGAATGTGTCGATATCGTGAGAAGAGAGAAGTTCTTTTTAAAATGCTGCCGTTAATTCTTGTTATAAAGTTCGCAAAGGAATAAATCCATCCAAACCCATGATTCTCAGGTCCTCATCATCATTATGATGATCATTCCTTCTTGTCTAAAAAAACCGATTATCATTGAATGAAAATGCAAATGAGTGATAGTTTGTCACAAATAGACGGACGACGAAAGCACAAATAAATGCCAAAGCAACAATATTCTTCAAAACAATGTCATTGAAATTTTGACAGAAACAGAAACCCTGTTGTTGATGGTGCACATTAAACATAATTTTCAAGGTATGTTTCGAGTGTATTGTTAGTTTGAGTTACCATGTTCTTGATGAGTCACAGATTAATACTTATTGTCAGTTGGAAATAAATTTTCCAACCTTTTTCTGCCGATGCCCAAATCAAAAAGTTTTATTCCATTTAAGCAGAATAATGAGGTAAGTGCAAATATCACAAGCTCTTGGTAAGGTAGTAATTTGTGACACATGCGTTGTGAGCAGCATGAGGAAACATTAGTCCGAAAGGTTAGCTTTAGAAGGTATCGATACACACAAAAAACAAACAGAGACTAGGTAACAAACATTTTTGAAAAATACTTTCAGTGAATTTTTCCTCTTACCTACTAACATTTTGTGTAAATCGATGCCAACATGCAGTTTTTTTCGATTGAAATTTCGTATATAAAGGATTATAAAAGTAATTAACAATAATATATTATTATTAATTAAAACAATGAATACTTAGATTGTAACTAATGTTAATAAATTATAAGCGTAAAAAATATTAGAAACCTTGACATCACGTTATTGTTAGTAGGAAACACAATCATTAGACTATTAGAGGTAGTCAAATTAGAAATGTTAAGGAATTTTAAAGAAAATATTAAACGAGAACGAACTGAAAAGTGCTTTAAACAGATACCTAAAACCTAAATATTAAAATAAAAGGGAAAATGTTAGTAAACGTATCAGTACAGAAGTCTTTTGATTTGAAAATATGAAAAGTTTAGAATTTATTCCTATCTTCGATTTAGATTGAGTATTACATAAGGTTCGTCTCGATTGTTGCCTAAATCCGTATTATTAGGCTCATAACAAGGATTGACTGTGTAATTCAAATTAGGTTGATGATAACTCACCGGTTGAATACTATTTGTTCTTCGTCTTTCAATTTCGCGATCATCAAGACAGAGATCCGAATCTGAATCCACTCTTCGTCCCAAGTCCTCCTGTCAGTCATTTATCAACATTAAACACATCTTTTAATCAAACTGAAACTGGCACCCACTTAATTTTGGAAAATAAATTTTAAAGTTATAAAACGTTTTTTTTAAATCGACATAGAATTTTGAAAATTATGTGGGTGTCGTTTACAGCTTGATTTTTCTTTCTATACCAACATGAAATTTTCAAAAATTAAAAGAGTACTGATCCATTTTAAACATGAAATTTCAGTAGAAGCCTAAATATTAACAGGATTGCCACGAGTCAGAGAAATGAGGGAAAAGTCTGAGATTTTTATTAAAAGTACTTATAGCATTTATAAGAAAATTCTAAATTTTAGTATCTTTTTTGTTTGCCTCATAAACTATAAAATTGCCAAGAATTCTAATACAAACCCTTCAATTTTTTATATTTCTAACAAAAATTTCTTTTAAAATAACTTAATTCATGAAGAGGAACTATCATAAAATTATTTAATGAATAATTTAACTTAAAAATTTCAAAATTAATTGGATTTCCAAAGAGTTGCGTTTACAATCTTTATAAATAGATGAACTTCAAAGGTTTCAATTTGAAATTTTAGAAAATATCAATTTTTAATTAATTTAAATAGAAATTTAAAGAACAACTAATTACAGAAATTCAATTATTATTTCAAAAGTGGTAAACATTTTCGCATGAATTCAATTATGTTCAAAAATTTTAAAAAATTCTGGTCAAAATTTTAATTAACCTTACAAATAATAAAATTCTTCTCTGAAATTAAATTATTTTCAAGAAATTTAATAAAATTCTTGGCAAAATTCTATTATGTATTTAAAAAAATTTTGACAAAATTCTTTACAAGATTTAGTTAATAGAATTGCAATTTTAATCACATTTTTCTATACAATTCAATTATTTTCACAAATAATAAATTTTTTTATGGGAATTTAATTCTTTAAAATTTTTTTGATAAAATGCTGTATAAATTTGAAAAATTATAATAAAATTGATCATAGAATACAATTATTTTCGTAAAATATAACATTCTTCCTAGGAATACAATTATTGTCAAAAATGTTTGTAAAAATCTTCGAAGCAAATTCAATTATTTAAGAAATTTTTATAAAATTTTTCCCAAGAATTCAATTCTTTTAAAAAATAAAATTTTTCACAGGAATTCAATCATTTAAAAAAAAATTTAATAAAACTCTTCTTCAGATTTCAATTATTTTCACAAATAAAATTCTTCACAGGAATTCAATTCTTTAAAAAAATTTTTAATAACATTCCTTGCAAGAATTCAATTATTTTCATAAATAACAAAAGTTATCGCAGAATTTTAATTATTTTTGTTTATACAATTTTAAATAAAGTGATAGAAAATTGCATTTCTTTTGAAAATTTTGTTTAAATTTGCCGAAAGAATTGAATTATTTTTTAAAATTTTGATAAAATTCTTCATAAAAATTCAATTTTAAGAAATACTCAATTGAATTTTGAAAAGGTTTCAAATTATAATCTTTGAAAGTTTTAATTTTTCATACTTTTAATTGAAAATTGTGTAAATTTAATTTTTTTTTAAAAAGTTTAATGGAACTTTTTTGAAATTATTTCAAGTTTTTATTTTCTAATATATATTTGATTGAAGAGTTTCCGAATAATCAAAATTTAATAAAATTTGATTGGAAACAAAAGGATTTGAACATTTTCAAAGAAATTTTTCAAAAATTATTAAAAATAATTACCTAATTTATAGAAGAATTTTAGTTAAAAATTTTAGAAAATAATTGAATTGAAAAATGAAAATAATTTTTGTCAAGTTACACTAACAATATTCTACTGATATAAAATAATGATTTTATCAGTCGGTCATGTTTTATAACAATTTTTTTAAAATTGTTTAATTTCAAAAAGGTTTGAATTTGAAATTTTTGAAAATCTTAATTCTTATGGAAAAATAAATTCTTTAGAGTCAAGGAGAAGTAAGAATTTTGTCTGGAATTCAAGGGAAAATCAGGGAAAAAGAAAATTCAATTTTTGTTGTCAACAAATGTGGTTTTAAAAACCTGGAAAAATTACGTTTTTTAACCTGGAAAAGTCAGGGAATTTGAAACCTAGATCTATTAATTAGATTTGCTCTGATGGCTCTATCCGATGAACGGATCCTTTGACTTTATAAAACCAAAGTTTACTTATGCAAAATAGTATTCTTAAATTTGAAAAAACTGTAAATCTATATTTAGAATTAGAAAAAGATATGAGTCTTTAAAGGAAGAAAGAAAGTAAATATCTTACCTGGGTCATTTGTTGCGTAGTAGTAAGAATCCTAGCTACTGGACCACAGCAAACTGGCAAAGTTTCCAGAAGCGTAGGTCGCGAATGCGTCAATAGCGGTTTCATAAAACGGGTATCAAAATTACCCCAAACCCTTGCGAGAAGGGCTTTTTCATTTGGCTTTGACCCAGGTGCCGACGATGGTCCATCCTGCATAGAATTGTACTGTGAAATGTGAACAAGGCACTTTAACTATCCATCCTGTTTACTTCTTCGCCCTCGTGATATTTCGTTAAAATCGTTAAAAACTTTGTATATCTTTATTTCGAAACGAGATAACTTTTATGAAAACGTGCTCCAAATTCATTTTATCAGACAAATTGTACAATAGAATTTATTTCTGTCACTTTGTACCGAACCTTAGAGATACTTAAATATATTTATACCAATGCTGTTTCTAGTGCTCTTTTACAACAGCCACATGCCTTTAATAATAGAAATAATAATTGGAATTAAAATTGTTATTTCGCGAATTTTCTTTCTTTCTGTTAAGATACATCCATTTTCGATAATATAATTATAGGTTAAGCGGCAAAAATAATATCTTACCGACTCAGAGCATACAGAATGGATAACCAAAAGTAATAAAGTCAATGCAAAAGCTGCATACAAGCAAAAAGCATATCATGAAAGCCAAAATTAAAATTGTAATTTTCATATTAAATTCAATTAGTTCAACATGCAGATGCAATTCAAATATTTACAGAAATGGATATTTAACAATTTAACCCTCTGTCCATTAAGAGTTGATCGGTAAGGATATTAGGTTATCATAAAAATATTTCTCCAAAAACTTTCGCTATTTGCAAAACGTGCAAAACGTGCAAAACAGTTAATTATATTTCTTCTCAAGATAAATTAAAGTACTTTCAATCATAAACGATCAAATAAAGCAACCAATAGATAAATTAAGTAAGTATTGACAAATAACATTTTTTTTTAGAAATATTTTTCATTACATACACTCACTGACTCACCGAAAGTACAACATTTCTTACCTGTTTGCACCTAATTTTAAAAATGAAATATAACCATAAAAAATGATTATGTACCATTTTGTTCAGTACTTTCGGTATATATGTTAGTGTGTAAAATTGGCAAGTGCAACAAAGGCAGTAAAATATGATTCGACTTTTTGGCGATCACTTATTTTGCTCCCTTGATGCATAAAGTATAAATATAATTCGACAGAAAAGGTTAAATAGGTTCTTCAAAAAGAAGAATGTAACTATCGATGCAAATAAATAAACAATTAAAATAAACAAGCACAATTGTAGCGTCGTTAGACTTTAACGATCAATTATTACGCTCCCGAGTGCACGAAATCAATTAATAATTAAATGACTCATATATATATATATAATCACAAGTACTGCGTGTGTCACTTTTGAAACTCTTTTGTTAACATACCGGGGGACTTCTCTCCCGTCGCATATCCAGATCGCCAAAGCCACCTTCGCCACCGGACTATTAACAATTATAATTTTCGTACTTTTACTCTTTATACCAATTTATCTTTTATTTCGAGAAAGAATAAATAAATACATGCTTTAAACATTTATCATACGTTTATCAAAAAACCAATCATATATGACAACATGAATTATTAAAATAACAACTGTGCATTTTTTTAAAGTAGTAATTACTTTACTAGCAACTTTTTTAATTTTCAATACAAAGAAATAATTACTAATTACAATTTTAAGTGCTGCATTTTACACGTTTTAAACTAACGCATGGAGAAAAATATAAAGTACCTAAACCTTTACTACTTTCATAGTAAAACATTTCTGGTAATTTTACATATTTGTAAAAAATTAGTAAAATTTACTCCGAAAGTAGAAAAAGTTACTTTATATTTTTCTCCGTGCGATGAACGGAGTGAATCATTCAAAAAACAAAAATTATTAGTTAGACCGACTCTAAAAAAATATTGTTTTTGAGTCGATGATTTCTAATTTTGTCAGATTTCAAAAATTCAAAATGGATGATGCAATATGGTGACTAAAAATGGCAAAAAGTAGACAAATTAACTTGAAATTTGTTATATTAAACTTTTTGTTGTCATACGAAGTTCGCCGTTTTGAATTTTGCAGCATCAACAAATTCATTAAAAAAGTTGCATGTAAATCTTTAGAGACCAAAATTGATGCAGATTATGTTATGACGAAAATAAAAATTGTATGGTTGTGTGTGTGTGTATGTGGCTACTTTCACACAAAAGAGTGTTACTAAATTTAGCTCCTTTTTCGGTTTTCAAATTTATAACTGTAACATATGCTAGAGTTAATTACTTGCTTATGTAGCAAGTTAAAATTTCCAATCTCAGTAAACAGGGAGCAAAACAATAAATTGTTGCAAGATTCATCCGCAGTGAGGCACTAGTTTTGAAACTACTTTTAAAGTTTGGTTTATAAAATCAGTTAAAAATGGGAATTTATAATGAAAAATAGGACCAATTACGCAAACCATTATGTAATTCGTAGATAGTTTGCCTAAAGAAATTATGAATAATTAAATTCTTCTCCAAAATTCAATTATTTTCAACAATTTTTATAAAATTCTTGGCAAAATTTCAATCGTTTAAAAAAAAATTTCCTCAATTCAATGATTTTTAATATCTACTATTTTAATAAATTTTTTCAAAAGAATTCAATTATTTAAGAAAAATTTAATAATATTCTACGCAAACCTTTCATTATTTTCATAAAATAATAAAAATTTCACAGGAATTGAATTGTTTACAAATTTTTTTGTAAATTTCTTCGCAATTATTCAATTATTTTCGTAAATAATAAAATTCTTTTTAGGAATTGAATTACTTTCATAAATAATAAAGCTCATTGCAAAATTGCAATTAATTTTATTACAATTTTTATCGAAATTCTCAAAAAATTTAATTTATTATTCTTAAAAATTTTATTATAATTCGTCAAATGAATTGAATTTTAAGAAACATGCAATTATTCAATAAATTATTTATTTTTGTATTTAAATAATTGAATTCTCGTAGAATTTTATAATAAAAATTGTAGATTGCAGATTGTAGATTGTAAATTATAAACAAATGAATTTGAAAATTCTCAAAGAATTTTTGCAAATATTATTGAAAATGATGCATTTATATAAGAATTTTAGTTAAAAATGCTTGAATCATCTTTAATTATTATAAAACATGAAGAAATCAATCACTTCGAGTCGAAGACTCGGAGTGAACGATATCTTCATGTTTTATAGTTATGAAAAATTTAATTGATATAGTTTTAAGTAAAATGTTGTCTTATTTGACTCGGAATGTTTATATTTTTGTCAGTAATTGGTCTGTGAATAGTACGTAATTTGAATGAAATCTTTCTTAATTTGTATTTAATTTAATTAATTCTTGTGAAAGCTTCCATTGTTATTTACTCTTCAAGTATAAGTTAAAATAAAAAATTGATAACAGTGTACACATAATTATCAAACTGTCAACAACGTACGCACTTCGGTTGTGTCCACGGTATTGTACATCTGGGTGTAAGCGATTAGACAAAAAGGGAAAACGTGTCAAGGTAATTAAACCATCAATTTACATTTTACATGCTCAGAAAGAAAGCATCCACTTTAAAATGACACATAAATGACATAAACGGGAAGAGCCTATGAATATTATCACCCACAAATTATTTTTCTTAATGTTCATATTATATCGTCAATTCAAATCATTTTTTTACTAGAAACATTATTTATCACAATTTTTATTCCTACAATAATATGAGTCACACTTTCTGTGATTTTACGATTCAATGTCTTTATACAACAAAAAGTTTCTAGTCTGCATTTTTTTAATTTTAATATTTCTAACTCAACATTTTTGGTTGAAAATAATTTTTAAACACCCCATTTTTTGTAAAAAAAAGTTAAAAATTTTTTGCAAAAATCAAAAATTTTCCTTCTGTCTTTTCATAAAGAATTAAATTAGTAAGTTTCGAAATTTTTAAGTCTTCTAACATTTTTGTTGTTAATTTTAATTAAGCAAAATCATGCGGTACTGCATAAATTTAAAAAAAAACTTTGTTTAATATTTTTACCCACATTTTTGAGGTTTTAAAAAATTATGAATTTCTTTAAAAGTGAAATTAATATGTTGTCTATTATCATACAGGTGAAAAAAGCGTCAGAGAAAAAAATACCTATACATAATCAGTAGAATGATCGCAAACCTGCTGCTGTCTTTTATTTCAACAACTATCTAATCCATCTATATGAGACTTGACAAAAAAAATTGGAGTCATCAACCTCCAATAAATAACAATGTATATTCATTTCATATTCTAGTGTCAAAAGTTTTTTATTTTACTTAATAGTAAACAAAAAGTAGTATTAAAAATACTTCTGTAAAAAAAAATGAATTTTCACTTTTTAATATAGTGTAAAATATTGGTTTTTTGTTTCCATAGGCCAAGCTTTTTTAAAGTGAATTCATAAATTGAAGCATAAAAAAATCCTCAGAACAGCAAAAACCGGCAAAAACAAAGCAAATCATCAGGACTAAATTTTCAAGAAATCGAAAAGTTTCTCAATCAACGAATTTAGAATAAAACTTTTCGTACTATATCTGCTTTGAAACAAAACTCGTTTGAAAATTGCTATTTATGTAAATGACCGTCTGTCCTCAATTGATATGAATGTTATTTTAAAGCTAGTAACATCCGTTTTACTCTTTCATTAAATACGATTAATTTAGCACCAAAAACACTAAAATTTACACACAATAAACTAGAAGCGAGAAAAATTGATAGTTTTTTTAAGTACTCACGCTTCTGACGCCGTTATGCGATAAACCCTCTACTTCTTCATCCACACCGACTCTGAAATGAAAAATTTTTATGTTTTCTTGTATTTGCTTTGCTTGATAATTCATTTCAATTTTAGAAAGTTAATTTATCACTCTACCTTCGTTAGGAAGGGAAATTAAAATAATGGTTTATTTAAAAAAAATGACGGTGAATGATACTTATATACTTAAAATTTGCTTTATTTCTTGCTAACTTTATTTTTAAAATTCTATTATTTTTTAGGAGACTACCTTACAATGGATAGATTTTTATAGTGAATAATTGTAAATAAAAACAAATTTTTTTTACTTTAATACCTTCTATACCTTTTCAGTCTGCTCGATAATAAATGTAACTATGTATAGAACAGAACATTCCAACAATTGATAAAATTAAACTTTTTACAATAAGGTTTTAAATTTTAAAATTACTTATGAGTTCAGCTCCTTATGAAGTACGTTGCAAATTTGAGTTTATCAGAATCATTTTTTTTTATTAGAACTTCTTAATAGGCAGTATATTTTAAACTTTAAGCGACCTATAAATTTTTATTATCCATTGTATGGCAGTCTCTCTTATATAAAGTTTATGATTACTGTTTCTGATAATTAACGGGTACAAATCGTAAAATTAGATTGTTTGGTATGTGAACTTTAACATTTGCTTCAAGTCCGTGAAGTCCGTAATTCGATTGAGAAAATACGAAAAGTTGGTAAATTGTACGATATAATTTGGAGAATTTTAGAGAAACTACAAATGATTGCAGAAATTTAATTATTTTCAAAAGTAATAAAATTCTACACAGAAATTCAATTATGTTCAAAACTTGTTAAAAATTCTCGTCAAAACTTCAATTATCTTTAGAAATACTTGATTAATAAAATTCTTAGCAAAATTTCAATTATATTTTAACTCATTGCAGGATTTCAATTATTTTTAATACAATTTTAATCGAATTTCTCGGAAAATGGAATTCTTCTTACAAATTTTATGAAAATTCGTCGAAAGAATTCAATTATTTAAAAATTTGTTTATAAAATTCTTTATGAGAGTTGAATTTTAAAAAACATTCAATTTTTCAATAAATTATTTATTTCTGTATTTAAATAATTAAATTCTAGTAGAATTTTCTAATAAAAATTGATTTAGAAATGAATTACAATCAAAATTTTAAATAATAATTAGATAATTGAATTTTGTAATTAATTTTTTTGAAAAAGTTTAATTGAATTTTTTTAATATTATTTGAAGTTTTTATTTTCTAATATATATTTAATTGAGGAATTTACGAATAATTGAAATTTCGTAAAATTGAATATTGTAAAGAAATGGATTTGAAAATTGTCAAAGAATATTTTCGTAAATTATTATTAGAAATAATTGATTTAAAGAAGAATTTGAGTTAAAATTTTTTGAAAATAATAATTTAATTTAATGTATAGTTTCTGGGACTGGTTATATTTATTGTCAGTAATTAGTCCTTAATTTTTAGGGTTCCGTACACCTACGGTGTATCGGCGGAACCCTATTGGTGAGACTCTGTTGTCCGTAGCCAAATCGTGTCCCCCCCCCCCCCCTAGCGGCTAAACTATTTGACCTAAAGAGCTCAAATTTGGTACAGATATGTATTTTCACACGTAGATTACAGGAAAAATATAGCGAATGTGTTTGGAGATGATGGGCATAGCGTTGTCAAGGAAATAACAAGATTTTTGGCCAAAAATGCATAAAAAGTAACCATTCCCCCCCCCCTTAACTTCTAAACTATTCGACATGGAGAGCTGAAATTTTGCATGCTGGTGTATTTTTACTCGAATATTACAGGAAAAATATAGAGAACTTGATATGTAATGATGGCCATAGCGTTGTCAAGGAAAAACTAAAAAATTAAAAAAAAAAAATTTTTTTTCCCTTACTTTTACATTATTTGACCTAATGAGCTAAAAATTGGTATCCTAGTGTATTATTACAGTCTGACGACAAAAAATTTATTTAAGAAACTTTTTGAAAAAAAATCAAAAAAAAATTTTTTTTAATTTTTTTTTTCAAAAAAAAAAAATTTTTTAAATTTTTTTTAGTTTAAACACGTGGCATTGAATATTTTAAGGAAGAGAGTGAAATTTTAAGAGAATAAATGAGAGGTTGTTTTCTGACTTTAATTTCTTAACTAAAAATAAAAAAAAATTGGACAAGTTCGAGTTGTACTCGCACTGCAATGGCGGGTTCCGCACACAAATATTAAAACAATACTTGCAACATTGATCGGTAATTGGTAGAATTAAAATAAACAATTATAAAAATATATTAAAATCATTTGATAAAAAAAAATAACTAAAAAAAATTAAAGTATTGTATATATCTAATATTGTAAACAATAACCGACAGATTGGCTCAGTCGGATAGATGCCTGGCGTTGGTGGTCGTTTAAGGACCAAGGGTATAAGTACCCTTGGTTCGCGCCCACTTGGCTTGGTATTTTTCCGGCACGTGAGACAATCTGAGCGGGAGGTTTGACGTCGAGGTATAATGATGTGCACCGTCGATTATTGTCCGGTACACACCATTAGAACTCGACTGTCGATAAACCGGTTGTACTCAGAGAGGTTTTCTACAGTTTCCCTCTTCTCTGGCGAGAAAACCCATTGACGGGTGGTCCAGGCGTAATGCGAGTACTCCTAATAAAGTCGGCTGTAGACGCAAAATTAGGTTAATATATATAGAAAATTTCTAAAGTAGAATGGTTATGCTTAATCCAAAAAAAGTATTTCTCGGGGACTCTTGTCGAAGTGCGTAAGGCCAATAGGGCAGGAGTATATATATAAAAAAAAAAAAAAAAAAAAAAAAAAAAAATATTGTAAACAATAATAAGCAGAGGAACAAAATTTTCAAAATTTATTATAGTTCCTCTGCTTATTATTGTTTACAATATTAGATATACAATACTTTAACTTTTTTTAGTTATTTTTTTTTATCAAATGATTTTAATATATTTTTATAATTGTTTATTTTAATTCTACCAATTACCGATCAATGTTACAAGTATTGTTTTAATATTTGTGTGCGGAACCCGCCATTGCAGTGCGAGTACAACTCGCACTTGTCCAATTTTTCATTTTTGGTCCGTAAAGTCCGCATTTTGAAAAGGAAAGAAAGTCGAAGCCTGTGATTGCAGGATAGGTGAATAAACTTGTATAATTAATTGAGAAATATTCTTGAAAAATTAAAGTGTAATAGATACATAAGAAAGATTGAAACTTACGGTATTTTGAACCAGCTTAAAAACTGCGTGGTTGCTCCACCTTGGAAAATTACCGTCAATATGACGATGAGACTAGTGGTGGTTAGCATAGCTTGTCTGGCTTCCGAAACTGTATTTCTAATCGCCAGGGCAAAACTCATTGCACCACGTAAGCCAGCACAGAACAGCATGTGCTGATAGTTTAATGAAATTTTGGGCTTTCTTGCCAAATTCATTAAGAAAGAGAGAGGATAAACATTCACTGCTCGTCCCAACATGGCACAAAACTAATTTCACTTTCGTTAAGAAATCACATATTATTATTATTATTATTATTATTTTCTAATTTCAATTCAATTTTTACTAAATTTATTTGAACCTGAAAAATGAAAATTTTAAACTAATCCTAATTAAATATTTAAATATAAAATTTCAAAAGGATACGAATCCCGCGAACATGAAACCAGGATCAAATCGATGTTTTGGAAACGTGAACATCGACACACCAATGTAACTGAATATAAAATTCTCTGCTAAAAAATTGAGTAACTCAAATAACTGTTTTGTCCTTTGGCGAGAATCTGGACTTAGATTATTGTAGGTATAATGAGCTTGGCATATACCGCAGAACAAGACGGCAACAACACCTGCAACAATTAATATGAAAAATTCAAGTAAAAGTCCTGGATTTTTAAGGAAATACAAGAGAGTTGTTGGTTATGCGCAACTAAATTTTACTGATGCGAAATAAAAAAGACAAAATGTTAGAAATGGTATTGAAAATACCTTCTCATCCTCATGTGATAAGAATGTAATAAGGTATATTTAAATTATTGTATATAAAGTTGAGCTTACCGGTAAGATCCGATGCTTCGGCAATGAGGAAAGTACTATATGACATAAGAACGAATAAAGCCGATTCCAAAAGTGGAAAATCTCGAACTCTCGTGAATTTCGTAAGCAATGCCGTGATGCATCCCATTGTAGCGCCAATAAACAGCGACAGGCTGAATATCCCAACGAAATCGCCGAGAGCTCGGAAGAAAGCGAAAGTTTCGAATCCACCCGATACAGACTGTGAACGATAATGCTGTATGGATCTGTAAATAGTAAATTATAAACTCAAAATTGTAATTGATTTTTATTTCTTCAAAAGGAAACCTAATATATGGAGAAATGTTTTTAGCCTTTACTAATAAAACTTATATTGTATTCTAATTATTTTCCCATCAAAATTCAGTTAAAAAATTGGTTTTTATTGTAAGTTATCAATTTAACATTAAATATACTATTTTGACTTTTCATATTCGTTCCGACATTTAAAATTTTGAAAATCTGTCTTTAGATTCGTAATTATCTAAAACCCCCTAGACACCAAGTTTCATAAAAATCTAAGTAGTTTCTTAAAATTAGTCCGCCATTTTTGATCCGACATTTTGAATTTTGAAAATCTGACTTCAGCTTCGCTCGTTTGGCGCTCATATTTTAACTTTTATTAATTGTGATAAAACATGTATAATATTCTAAATATTCTAAAGAATGTAATTAAATAATTATTTGTCAAATTTTCAATTCATAATTTTTTTATTTCATTAACATAAATAAAATAGAACTATTTTAAGTGAAACACGATTTTCAGACTTCGCACTCGATAATTAATTTTAAAAAAGTAGCAAAAAGTAGCTTTCTAACTAAAAAAAGTAGTAAAAAAATAGCTAGATCGAAAAATTAAACTTGAAAACAAAAAAAACTCGTTTTAGACACTTGACAAAACTGACAAAAATTCCATTCTATATTTTATTTTTCTGACTTTTTCCTAATTTTCATCAAAAATATTTACTTCTTTCTTATCCTGCTAATAATTTGAATTCCTATAACGAATTTTATTATTCATGAAAGAATTTAAATATTTTAAAAATAATTTCATTCTTGCCAAGAATTTTATAAAAACTTTGAAATAATTGATTTCTTTCACTAATTTTAGGCAAATTCTAATTTAAATAATTGAATTCCTCAGAAAGTTTTATTATTTATGAAAAGAATTGAATTCTTACCAAGATTTTTACAAAAAATTTTTGAAATAATTGAATTCTGATTGGAAATATTATGAAAATAGTAAATATGGAAAATCATTGAATTGCGAAAAGTTTTTAAAAATAATTATATTGAATTCCTAAAAAGCATTTTATTATTTGAGATTATTTTATTATTCCATGTCAAGTGATCAAGGTGGAAAAAATTTTTTCTCCAATCGTGCCTAAACTTGGGGCTTTTGTAGTACTAGTGGATAGTGATTTTTGGTAAAAATATTTTTTAACTTAGTCCAATATTTTTCGAGGGGGAGGGGGTGAAAGTTTAGGGTTTTTCGGTACAATGCTTATTTTGATAATTTTTTACTCTTAAACAATTAAACATGGAAATTTGACCGAGTACAGTTTCGAAAGGTTTTTTCATGCTCTTTCGATTGGAAATAAGCATTTTGAAAAAAAAAAATTTTTTGACCAAAAAAAATCAAAATTAAAAATAAATTTTAATTTTTGAGGGGGAAGGATACGATTTTTTTTTTTTTTTTTTTTTTAAACGAAAGCTGAGGTTTTTTCCTAAAAGGACATATAAATGAAAAAGTGGGACAAGAATGTTTAAACACTGAAAAAAAGAGATTTCTACTGACCGGAGTGCTAAAAACCCGGTTTTTGGCTCTGTTTGGTAGAAATCTCTTTTTTTCAGTGTTTAAACATTCTTGTCCCACTTTTTCATTTATATGTCCTTTTAGGAAAAAACCTCAGCTTTCGTTTAAAAAAAAAAAAAAAAAAAAAAAAAATCGTATCCTTCCCCCCCAAAAATTAAAATTTATTTTTAATTTTGATTTTTTTTGGTCAAAAAAATTTTTTTTTTCAAAATGCTTATTTCCAATCGAAAGAGCATGAAAAAACCTTTCGAAACTGTACTCGGTCAAATTTCCATGTTTAATTGTTTAAGAGTAACAAATTTTCAAAGTAAACATTGCACCGTAAGACCCCTTGATCACTTGACGTGGAATCGCTCATTTATGAAAATAATTGAATTCTTGCGAACGATTTTATTAGAATTTTTTAAAATAATTGAATTTCCAAGAAAAAATTTATTATTTTTAAAAATAATTGAATTCTTTTTATGAATATTGATATTTATGAAAAAAATTGAATTTTAAAAAGAATTTTATTAAAATGCCTGAAAATAATTGAATTTTCGGGAATAATTTAGTTATTTATCTTTAATAATTGAATTCTTTCGAAAAATTATTTATGTGAATAATTGAATTCTTGGGAAGAATTTTATTAAAATCTAAAAGAATAATTGAACTATTTCAAAAAAAAAAAAATTTAATTAAAATTGTATTTAAAATAATTAATTTCTTTCGAACAATTTTATTAAAATAATTGAAAATAATTGAATTCCTGTGAAAAATTTTAATATTTTTGTAAATAATTGAATTATTCTTCGAAAGAATTTTAAAGAAACATTTTTTTAAACAATTGATTTTTTCGAGGAATTGAAATTAAATTTTTAATAATAATTTTAATTTTAATTTCTGGGAAAAATTTTGTTATTTTTGAAAATAATTGAATTCTTTATAAGAATTTTATAAAAATTGTTTAAAATAATTAATTTTTTCGAAATGTAATAAATATTATGGAAATTTTATTTGAAATAATTTAATTCTTCTATGGAAAACTTTATTTGTGAATATAATTGAAATTCTTCGATGAGTTTTATTATTTATGAAAATAATTGAATTCTTGTTTAGAATTTTATCAAAAATTGTTTTAAAAAATTGAATTTCCATGAAAAATGTTATTATTAGTGAAAGTAATTGAATTATTGTGAAGAATTGTATAAAAATTTTGTTAAATAATTGTACTAGATATTGAAAATAACTGAATTTCGAATATTTTTTGGAAATAATTGAATCGTTTTAAATAATTTAATTATAATTATTGAGAATAGTTTTTTGATTTCTAGTATCAGCGAATTTAAAGTAGTGGGAATCTAAAACAAAGTACCCAAATAGTAGCATAACGTAAAGAAAGTAGTAAATAGTAGGTTTTAGTATGTAGATGAGAGCGAAGCCTGTAATTTGAAATTAATTTAAGACCAGGAAAATAGGAAAAATTTAAAGAGGTTTCAGTTTGACGTTACAATTTCCATTTCATTCTTATGAACGTAAAGAGCGAAATTAACATTTGTTAAATTTGTAGGTAAGTTTTTATCAATGTAAAGATTATTCGCAAGTTGAAAAAACTTGTCAAAAACAGGTAGGCCAACTAGTAAAAAATTAAAAATTGAAACTTAAAAATACTATAGGTACTAATATAATAAATAGTGCAAGATATTTACCCGCTAAGTACAATAGCAACTGCATCATTCAAAACGCTTTCACCAAATACTAAAGCGTAGAGATTAACGTCGACGTGTAAATCATTAAATATCGAAATGATTGTCAACGGATCAGTAGGTGAAATTAGCGCTCCAAAATACAGAGTGTCCAAAAATGTGAACGACGTAGACAAATGCGGTATAAGTTGTATAAAGCCGTACATCAAAATCCTGTAGGAGAAATTTTTGCAAAAGTTTAGGTACACGTACAATTAAAAATAGAAATCACTTTAATCACCTGGTATTAAAAAAGAAAAAAGCATGTAAACAGGAATTGATAAGCGTAATCAATAAATAATGACCTGTTGATTATTTATCATTATTTGCAATTAGTATGACCTTTAAATAATGCTTTAATTATTATATATACAAGAACAAGAGAATATATTGATTCCTGTTCGACGAAATACGGAAGAAAAAATTTCATTCTTACCCAATAACGAAAGACGATATCGTCGTACCAATTAGAGCATAGGTTAAAATAGCTCCTAAATTGCGAAAAAAGTATTTCTGAAATAAGCACAACATTTTATATTAAATCATTTTTATTTCATTAATCTTAATTTCATTAAATAAATCAATTTTAATTTAAATAAATTAAGATGCAATAATTTAGTTTGATAAGTTTTGCAATGCATTTACCCTTTTTAAACTGTAGCCTGCATGGAAGATAATAGGAGGCAGGATTATATTGAAAAATATCTCGGGGTCGAAGGTCGCCTGAAATATTCGTATTTAAATGTGAAAATGAAATATATTCATATTGATCAATCAAATCATTAAAATACATGCTAGCATATGGACCCATCATAAACTACATCACGTTATTTTGATGCCTATTTTGATGAACCTGAATCCGCTATTATAAATTTTTTAAATTTGACTTTACTGTTACAATCAGCAACCCCAAAATTCCTAATCAGCGATCAATGACCAAAGATTTAGTATTATTGAAAGTATTATAAGCCTTAAACTGTTTTAAATAAATTTCTATTATACTACTTATCAAGAAATTCTGCAATTAACTTTTAAAAAACAAGATGCAATGTATGTATGTATGCATAAATAAAACTGCTTTTCTTAATTTTCTAAGTATAGTCATTCTTTTTCATTACAAAATAAATAGTATGTATTACAAACTCTGTTTATGAATTAGAATCTAATATTCTTTAAACATTTTTATAAATAAACGTCTGCCACAGACGAATAGGTGCCTCAGTATGAAAAAGTTCATTTAAAAAGTTGAAATGTTTCAAAAAGCATTGAAAATTATATTATATTATATTATATATATTGTGATTTTAAGCCGTTTTTAAGATCTAAAATATAGTTTTAAAGTTCCAGAGATTTCCCCATGTATTATATAAAAATATATAATTATTAATTCTTTTTAATTAAAAGAGAATTTATACCATTCGGTAGAAATATATCAAAGGTGAAAAAATTGAATCGGAGAGATTGTTAACTTGTTCCACCTTTGATAATTTCTTTTCATGTTTACTGTTTTACTGTTTTCCTACACAACTCTCAAGAGTAATTTAATTCTCTTTATATTATTTTACAATTATGTAGGTATATAAAATTAAATATAATTCTAAAATAATATCAAAAAATCAATTACATATAAATGAAGATAAAGATTAAAAAAAAATTCTGAAATATAAAGATTAGAAATGTTTGAGAAAAATATAGGAACATTTATTATGTTACACTGAGGAGACAATATATTTGAATCAAACATAATTATTTTTGTTATATGTACAGTTAACCAAAAATTATTTTTGAATTAAACATAATAATTTTGATTCAATAAAAATTACGTTTAATTCAAACATATTTTTTTGGTTCGCTATTTATTTTTAGATTAAAAAAAAATTGTTCTCAGTGTATGCAAATTTTGATTGCCAATGATTTCTCTAGATATAAATCATAATTGAATTACCTTAAGGTCAATATCATTGCCCCGTTTGAAAATTTCACCGCGAAAATTGTAAGCGAACGTTTTATTCTTAACGACACCTCCGCCTTTATCTTCAGGAAAATGCAACCATAAAGTGTCTGGCGGCACTGTGTCGTGGTAATTGTTTGGACTGCTAGGCTCAACGAACATGGATAAATTTTTACTATTTGGTTTAAATCCGAATCGGATTATCGCTCCTACTATGAGACCTGTCAAAAACAAATTCAAACAACGAGATTGTTGTTATTATTATTATTATTATTATTATTATTATTATTTACGAAAGCGCGAGAAAAGATATTATACATATCCTTTAATAATTCCTAAATTTCTCAACATTCAAATGAACGTAGATAATTTATTTATTTCTTCGCATTAAATTCAAATAGTGCAGGCTTCGCACTCATCTACTGAAAGCTATTAGGTAAATTTATACTATAAAATTTGGAAAATTGATTTTTATACCAAAAATCGTCTTTAAAATTATCAAGTTAGGGAAACGGGTACAGTGACCGAAACCGAAACTGAAACCGAAACTCAAACATTTTTGATTCCTCACGATGAAAGGGACTTTTGAAATACTTTTTGCTACTATTTTTACTAACGAGTTGGAAGCCTGATATGTTGTAAATTTCTAAATGTTTCTTTAATCCTTTTGTTTTACATTGCATTTAGTAATTTTTAAAAAAAATTGCATGGACAAAAAAAGGTTTCGTTCATTTGAACGTTCAAAAGTGGATGATGAAAAAAAGATTTGTCGAAACCAAATACTCTTTTTAAAAATGGCAAGTCTCCAAAAAGAATTCCGCAACATTTTTTTTTGCCTTTGTCATTTTTAGTTTTTTATTTAATTGTTTCTAATTTTCTTTATTATTATTTATTCCACTTATCAACTATTTATTTTAAATCGTTATATATTTATAAGAATTATAATAATGTTATTAGTTCATAATTTAAAATGATTAACAAAAAATTAAAGAAAATATAAATTAATTAATTGAAGAAAAATAAATTTCTTTCTTCTATATGAGAAAATAATTATTTTATAAAAAAATAAAATTCCTAGGTATTATTTACATAATCATTTTATAATAAACCAAAGAAATAGGCTTTTAAATAATAATTTGAAAAAAAATGTTCTATTTTTAAATACTACCAATATAAAATCTTTGCTGAAAAGAATATTTTTATTTATCATTATAAAGATAAAACTCATCAACGACATTACAGGTACTTTTATCGTTAAAAAATGACAACAATGATACAGGTTTTCCTTATATTTTTTTTCTTGCTTTATAATTATGTAAACTCTGTTAGTCGTATTATTATATTATTTATTTACTTTACTCAAAAACGCTTTCCAAAGAATATTAATAATATATTTTTACATTATTTTAATATCAATACCTGTTAAATAATTTTTTAGACAATGAACTATAATTCTTGTAAATAAGTACTATAACTCTCGTAAATAAATAATATGATAAAAAATTACAAATATTTTCTACAGCAAAATATTAAAATAATAAATTAATTAAACAAACAATGAATAATAGTAAATAAATAAAAATATAAGTTGTATTTGAGGGGCTCAAAGTAAAAGTGGTATAAAATAACAGTGCAAGCAAAAGTGAGTCAAGTTTTCGTAAGCGCGGAAGAAAGAAACAAATGTTACGCTACGAGGAAAAACGAATTACTTTTGGCTGCGAGCAAAAGCGGGATAAGATTTCACTGCGCGCAAGAAAGGGATACAGATATATTCCGTTTTTGCCCGCACTCATTTTAAGATTCATTTTTGCCTGTTTCACTCTTCCCATATATTTTATATTATTACCACTTTAATACTTATAATGATATTATTTCAAAATTAATTAACAAATTCAATTTTTTAAAATTTTAATTTTAAAATAATATAATTATTTCAAGTTTTAGGTATTTAAATTTAAATTCAATTACTTTACAATCAGACAAGAATCGAAAATTTTTTTTCAGCAGACCATCAATTTTTTTGCATTTTCCTACTCAAGTAGGTACCCAATAAATACCTAATAAGTTTCGTCCTATTATCGATAGGGGAAAGTTGTTAAATCAACCCCTAAATTTAAAAAAATAAAAAAAAATAGGAAAAAATTGTTATTTAAAAACTAATAACGAGACCATAAATTTTATTGCATAAAATTCATTCACTCGATGCCCAATCAATACAAAAAAATTTTGACCCGCAAGTCGATAGGGGAAAGTTGTCATTTTCAACCCTTAATATTTAAAAAATCGAAAAAAAATTACAAAAAACTTTATTAAAATTGCAGTTATCCTTTGACCAGCGATTTTCTTTTTGTTTATTGTTTCTACATACTCCACTAATAAGTAAAAATAATTTCAGAAAAATCGCCGCCCGGAAAACTTGACTTTTTTGCCCGTAAAAATTAAAAAATTGAAAAAAAAGTTAGAAAAAAATTTGTGAAAATTACAATTATCCTTTGACCAGGGATTTTTTTTTTGTTTATTGCTTCTACATACTCCACTAATAAGTAAAAATAATTTCAGAAAAATCGCCGCCCGGAAAACTTGATTTTTCTGCGCGTAAAAATTAAAAAATTGAAAAAAAATTACAAAAAAATTTGTGGAAATTACAATTATCTTTTGACCAGGGATTTTCTTTTTGTTTATTGCTTCTACATACTCCACTAATAAGTAAAAATAATTTCAGAAAAATCGCCGCCCGGAAAACTTGATTTTTCTGCCCGTAAAAATTAAAAAATTTAAAAAAAAATTAGAAAAAAATTTGTTAAAATTACAATTATCTTTTGACCAGGGATTTTCTTTTTGTTTATTGCTTCTACATACTCCACTAATAAGCAAAAATAATTTCAGAAAAATCGCCGCCCGGAAAACTTGATTTTTCTGCCCGAAAAATTGAAGAAAAAATTAGAAAAAAATTTGTTAAAATTACAGTTATCTTTCGACCAGGGATTTTTTTTTGTTTATTGCTTCTACATACTCCACTAATAAGTAAAAACAATTTTAGAGAAATTGCCGCCCGGAAAACTTGATTTTTCTGTCCGTAAAAATTAAAAAATTGAAAAAAATTAGAAAAAAATTTGTTAAAATTACAATTATCTTTTGACCAGGGATTTTCTTTTTGTTTATTGCTTCTACATACTCCACTAATAAGCAAAAATAATTTCAGAAAAATCGCCGCCCGGAAAACTTGATTTTTCTGCCCGAAAAATTGAAGAAAAAATTAGAAAAAAATTTGTTAAAATTACAGTTATCTTTCGACCAGGGATTTTTTTTTGTTTATTGCTTCTACATACTCCACTAATAAGTAAAAACAATTTTAGAGAAATTGCCGCCCGGAAAACTTGATTTTTCTGTCCGTAAAAATTAAAAAATTGAAAAAAATTAGAAAAAAATTTGTTAAAATTACAATTATCTTTTGACCAGGGATTTTCTTTTTGTTTATTGCTTCTACATACTCCACTAATAAGTAAAAACAATTTCAGAGAAATTGCCGCCCGGAAAACTTGATTTTTCTGTCCGTAAAAATTAAAAAATTGAAAAAAATTAGAAAAAAATTTGTTAAAATTACAGTTATCTTTCGACCAGGGATTTTTTTTGTTTATTGCTTCTACATACTCCACTAATAAGTAAAAACAATTTCAGAGAAATTGCCGCCCGGAAAACTTGATTTTTCTGTCCGTAAAAATTAAAAAATTGAAAAAAATTAGAAAAAAATTTGTGAAAATTACAATTATCTTTTGACCAGGGATTTTCTTTTTGTTTTTTGCTTCTACATACTCCAATGATAAATAAAAATTATTTCAGAAAAATCGCCGACCGGAATACTTGATTTTTTTGACCATAAAAACAAAAAAAAATAAGAAAAAAATTGTAAAAATTACAGATGTCTTTTGACCAGAGATTTTCTTCTTCTTCTTACTTCTACACATTCCCCTAATGTATCTACACAATTTCAAAAAAATTGTCGCCCGGAAACTTTGACTTTTTTGCCCGTAAAAACAAAAAAATTAAGAAAAAATAGGTAAAAAAATGGTGAAAATTACAAATTTCTTTTGACGAGAGATTTTCTTCTTGTTTCTTACTTCTACATATTTCCCTAATGTATCAACAAAATTTCAAAAAATTCGTCGACCGGAAACTTTGATTTTTTGCCCGTAAAAATGAAAAAATTAAAAAATTAAAAAAAAAATGTAAAAATTACAGTTGTTTTTTGACCAGGGATTTTTTCTTCTTTGTTATTACTTCTACATATTCCTCTAATATGTGTACATAATTTTAAAAAAATTGCCTTCCGGAAAGTTTTACTTTTTGCCCGTAAATATTAGTAAAACTCAAAAAAATAAGAAAAAAAATTGTTAAAATCACAGTTGCCATTTGTCCGGATTGTGCAATTCAAGGGGAGATTTTTATTTATCGTGTCTTCTTTTGGCATTCGTTCAGTGCTCGGCCAATGCAGCGATACTTTAAATCCTACGGGAAGACGAGATTACCCGAATACACCCGAAGTAATTCTCCAACACAAACTCTCAACGTCGCCTGTTCTCTCCGCGAACTTGAGTGTTTGCCTGTTGGGTCCTAGCTCTGGTGCGTTCGGCAATTTTCGGCTTACCTTGAGATTTAAAGACTCGCTACGTTGCTTTCCACGTTTAGCACAACGAACGAAAATCGAATAGGGACTACCAAATGACATTTTGGTCCTACACACAGTGGGATTTTTTTACAATTTACTTTTCAAAAATGTCTTCAGCCTACAATTTTTAAACGATTTGAGTGTTCTTGTATTTAAATTAAAGGGGAATAAATTCTTATGACATCCCTTGAGACTGATTTTTGAGATTTTAATTGTTTATAATTTTTTAGTTTAATGAAAGTTAACAAATTAATACAATTTTTTAAAATGGACTTTTATTTCTTATTCCGTTACTGCACATGATTTAAATCAGTTCAAGATAATCCAAGAAGACCACTAGGCAATTAATAAAACATATAATAATTTTTTTAAATTGTTGTAAACAATAATAATTGAAAAATAGATTTTTCTGAAATTATTTTTACTTATTAGTGGAGTATGTAGAAGCAATAAACAAAAAGAAAATCCCTGGTCAAAAGATAATTGTAATTTTCACAAATTTTTTTCTAATTTTTTTTCAATTTTTTAATTTTTACGGGCAGAAAAATCAAGTTTTCCGGGCGGCAATTTTTCTGAAATTATTTTTACTTATTAGTAGAGTATGTAGAAGCAATAAACAAAAAGAAAATCCCTGGTCAACAGATAATTGTAATTTTCACAAATTTTTTTCTAATTTTTTTTCAATTTTTTAATTTTTACGGGCAGAAAAATCAAGTTTTCCGGGCGGCAATTTTTCTGAAATTATTTTTACTTATTAGTGGAGTATGTAGAAGCAATAAACAAAAAGAAAATCCCTGGTCAACAGATAATTGTAATTTTCACAAATTTTTTTCTATTTTTTTTTTCAATTTTTTAATTTTTACGGGCAGAAAAATCAAGTTTTCCGGGCGGCGATTTTTCTGAAATTATTTTTCATTATTAGTGGAGTATGTAGAAACAATAAACAAAAAAAAATCGCTGGTCAAAGGATTTCGATTTTTTAAATATTAAGGGTTGAAAATGACAACTTTTCCCTATCGACTTGCAAGTCAAAATTTTTTTGTATTCATTGGGCATCGAGTGAATGCATTTTATGCAATAAAATTTATGGTCTCGTTATTAGTTTTTAAATAACAATTTTTTCCTATTTTTTTTTATTTTTTTAAATTTAGGGGTTGATTTGACAACTTTCCCCTATCGATAATAGGACGAAACTTATTAGGTATTTATTGGGTACCTACTTGAGTACGAAAATGCGAAAAAATTGATGGTCTGATGAAAAAAAAATTTCGATGCTGAGCATCGATGGCAACTTCAGGCACATTAAAATTTAATTATTTAAAATTTCAATCTAAATTCTAATGTATATTTAATAAAAATTGAATTTTAGAAAAATTAAACTACGAATATTTGTAAATTTTAATTGCTAAAAATTTGCCTTAAATTTCATACTATAATTTTTTGAAAATAATTAATTTGAAATATAATTTTTGTTAAAAAGTTTGTAAATAATATAAATGTAGGAAATTTGAAATACAAATTTTTGTATATTTGAAATACTTACTTTTTTTCACAAATTTAGGTCAGTAATTACATTTTAAGGAATTTTTAATGCGAGATTTTTTAAACATAATTGAATTTCTAAAAAATTTTATTACAATAATTGAAATTGACTTATGAAACTAAACTTTTATTAAAAAAATTTTAATAATTGAACTTTGGAAGAAATAGAGTTATAATGTTTAGGAATTTTGACTTGAAATTTTTTGTTAATTTCAATTATTAAAATTTGTTATTTAACAACCTTTTGAAAATAATTTTTCGAGAAAAATTTTCGAGAAAAATGAAAAAGTTTTCCAGTAAAAATTAGCATGTTAAAAACTTGAAAAATATTAGGAAATTATTTATCTACATATAAATAAATAACATGATCATATTTTTAATGTAACTAACAAATTTTTCAACAACAACAAAATATTAAAAATAAGTTTTGGAAGAAATATTCTGTTCACTTTAAAGGAATATTCTATCAATATTCACACATTATTATTATTATTTTTATTATTTATTCTTATTTTATTATTCACACATTGAAACAATTAAATAAAAGTAAAATAAACGAAATGGAATCAAACGTCAAATTGTCAAAATGTAGCGACGGCTCGTATCTCGACATTACTATAGACTTCACGGTGCGAGCAAAAGCGGATCAACTTTTGACTAAGAGCAAAAATGGGATAGCCATTTAGCCCGCTTTTGCTCGCGCTCGAAAGAAATTCTGTTTTTCCTCGCAGCATTCATCTGGCCCATTCTTACCCGTCAGAAAAGTTAACTCACTTTTGCTCGCACTGTTATTTTATACCACTTTTTCTTTGAGCCCCACATTTATGTCAAGTCCAAATAGTTTTTGATAGTATGACTTCATGGAATTTTATTCGACTTATATATTTTCCAAAAAATGAGACTTGTTCGACTATTCATCCAAATTTTGCAACAAAATACCACTTTTTTGTATACAATGCAATTTAATTCAAATTTTATTGCTGTAAAAAATAACTATATATAGTCTTCAAAAATTATTTTTGGAACAAGTTTGGATTAAAAAATTTTTAAATAATTGAAATTTTGTGAAAATCAAATTTTCAAGAATTTTTAATTGCAAATTTTGAAAATAATTAAATTCTAAAAAATTTTAATGAATAATTTGAAAATTAGCTTGAAACAATTATATTAAAATATTTTTTTAAAAAGTAACTAATTTAAAAAAACTAAATTTAATAATTTTTTCAAAATCAATTATTTTCAATATTTTTGGTTACATATTTTCTATAATGCACCTTAATTAATAAGTTTACAATAAGTATATAAAAGTTACAAGATATAACAATAAAATATACAAGTAATTAAAGAATTACTGACGTCTCGAAGAACTTTATAGGGAAATTATTAAAAATACTTGAATGTTTTGTCAAAAATTTTAGAAAATATTTAAATTGTAGTTGATGGATTAGAATATTAATTTTTAGAAATTCTACAAATCTTTTGTTGCGTGCTTACAAAAACAATATTTATAAGAAATTTTAGGTACACTTTGCTAAAGTATTTGTTTTGAGAAAATGTACCTAAAGTTTTGAACGTTTAAATGAACATCAATATTCTTCTTATTACTTTTGATTTCTATTTCTATTTTATTAAAAAAGAAAAGATATTATTTTGTTAATATTAAAAATAATAAATTCTTAACTAATTTAAATGTTAAATTTACATTATTTTTCAATTTAGTAATTTTTAAAAATAATTAAATAGAAAAAAAAATTCTTTCATTTAAAAGTTTAAAATTTTCGTGAAATTTGAGAAAAAGAATTGAAAACTTGAAAGAAATTTTCCACGTGGGAATTTTTAGGTTTTGAATAAAATAACTCGTGTAACTTAAACATTTAATATTCAGTATTCACAAAAATAAAGAAAACTATAAAAACAAGGGTATTATTACTTATAAAAAGAAATATGTAGATTGATGAAAACAAAAAATTGTCGTTGTAAGGAACAATATAAAATGCATTTGTTCAAAAGCAGCAAATAAATGACAACTGCTTTTAAACATTCCAGAACATTACAATTTAAAGTGATCGATATTTCTAAATAGGTAAAAATTACGTAAAGAGACAGTGAGTCAATGTTTTTGTCAGTCAATTCTATAAAATCGATTTCTATTATTCCCTTCGAAATGCATTGAAAATCACATGTAGCAGACGATAAATATATTATTATTACTCACCGTAAATGACAGCGAGACCCGTTTCATGAAGGAACCTCAAGCGGCGATGTTTAAATGTCCATATTGTTAATACAGTTAAAATTAATAACATTGTATATAATAAAAGATTTAAACTATCTAAAATGTGTAAAGCTTGTGCCTTTGCGTCCAATTCAATATCGGACGTTGCTCCATTGCAATATTTTAGAATAATTAGGCACAAGTACCCGAGAAGGAAGGATCGATTTATGTTTGACATATTTTCTCGCTATTCAATTACAAACTATTTCAATTATTTCAATGACAATTATGAATAATCACAAGTGCAAGTTGAACACGCAACATGACACTGACGGGCATTTCTACGTTGCAATTTGTATTCAGCATTTGCTTTGACATTGTAATACAAACACATTTAAATCAATCAAATCATGTACACTGAATTACTTTATTCATGTGTGAGAGATTGTACATGTGACAAGGATGGGAAACTTGAATTTTGCTACAAAGATTAACTCTATATTTAAGGTCTAATCACAACACCTTCGCGAACGCAAAGCATGAGTTAGAAAGGACTTAGTTATATTTGTGTCCTTTTCTATCTCATGCGTTTCGTTCGCGAACTTATTGTGGTCAGGCCTTTAAGTTGTGTCGTCCACAATATCCGTACAATACACCTTCAACGGAACGTAAACGTAACGAAACAAAAACTTATCATTTTGTTTCGTTGCGATTACGTTCCGTTCAAGGTGCTATTGTGGACTCAACCTTATAAACTAGCAGTTTGTAGTCGCGCCACTTTCGTTCACCCCGATATGTTTTGCTGTCTGCTATTCACGGGGTGCTACCCTCTGTACCAAAAACATAAGTTCGAATGCTCATTATGCCGAATTTACAATTTAGAAATGACCAGATACGCGAATCCTCAATAACCTAAATTGTATATTGAATGAAATTCAAAAGTAGGGAATAATCATTTGATATATTCTGCATATGGAGAATATTATTTTAAACTAATTCTTTTTTTCCACAATTTGAAATTATTGCAATTTTTATTTTTGGAATTTCCACTTTACCTACATTTTAATAGATCGAAACGTAAAATATCAGAATTGACATTTAATTGAAATATGATGGAGAATAAATATATATTCACTGAATAAAAAGATTAAATAATTATTAAATGTTTGAATTTAATAAAAACATATTGTTCAAAAGTTACAGTGCGAATTGTACAGAATATATATTAATAAGAAATATAATTTGGCAGAATGTCGATTCGATCGATTTTATATTTGCAAGAAATTCAATTTGACAGAATATCAATTTATAAGAAACACGTTTTCGTAGAACTTTAACTTGTCAGAATTGTAATTTTGTAGAATATTAATATTGGCAAATCTAATTTTGGTAGAAATCTGCTTTATCAGAATGATCACATGTTCGAATCCTCAAAAGTTAGAATTCCATTTTTACCGAAAATGGATTCCACATAAATATTTGGCGCAAATTTTAAAATTCTGATTTCTGATTGGTCGATTTTAAAATTTGCGCCAAATATTTATGTGGAATCCATTTTCGGTAAAAATGGAATTCTAACTTTTGAGGATTCGAACATGTGATCATTCTGATAAAGCAGATTTCTACCAAAATTAGATTTGCCAATATTAATATTCTACAAAATTACAATTCTGACAAGTTAAAGTTCTACGAAAACGTGTTTCTTATAAATTGATATTCTGTCAAATTGAATTTCTTGCAAATATAAAATCGATCGAATCGACATTCTGCCAAATTATATTTCTTATTAATATATATTCTGTACAATTCGCACTGTAACTTTTGAACAATATGTTTTTATTAAATTCAAACATTTAATAATTATTTAATCTTTTTATTCAGTGAATATATATTTATTCTCCATCATATTTCAATTAAATGTCAATTCTGATATTTTACGTTTCGATCTATTAAAATGTAGGTAAAGTGGAAATTCCAAAAATAAAAATTGCAATAATTTCAAATTGTGGAAAAAAAGAATTAGTTTAAAATAATATTCTCCATATGCAGAATATATCAAATGATTATTCCCTACTTTTGAATTTCATTCAATATACAATGTGACGGCAGGCCTAAATTCACGTAATTCTCCAATAGGGAAAAACACTACGTAACTCTTCGTACGGAAGAAACTAGGTAATAGCGCTAGGATTCAAAATTAATATCAATATAATAATTGAATTTTAATGTAAAATAAAAACGCATGCATTTATTTGCTTATTTCCGTAAAGAATTTTATCACATGCAAAAAATCTAAAGAACGAAATAGAATGGCAACCAAACATGTGCTGCTTTTTGAAAAGGAATAATAGTTAAAATTACAGATGTTGAAATAGTCTGCGAAAATGAGGCAAATGTCACGTAGGACACAAAAATTAGAATTGAAAAGAAACAGAGTTTATTTCTATAAAAAAATAGCCTTTTGAGAAATACATATTTCCGAACTTCGAAGCCGTTTGGAAAACCCAAACATGTGGTAGCAATAAAAAAAAGGGACCGTGGGACTCGGGCCTTACTCGAGTCCCCGGTATAAAAAAAAAGGGTATTGTATCGTCAGGAAAAACCTATGACTCATCCTTCGTTATAAGAAAAAGAAATGAGCTTTCTATTTAATTACAATATTCAAATTTGATATGAATTTCACATTCTTAATTCTATGTATGTCACTAATAATTTTATAAAACAACGATTATAAATTGATTACTGTTTACCATTTCATTACTAGTTAAATAATTTGATACTCTTAATTAATGATAAAAGTTTTAATCACATGTATAGAATTTGTTAATTAATTTATTGATTAATTAAATAATAATAATAATAATAAAATAAATAATAATAAGTTGTATTATAATACAAATTATCTACGTTTATTGTAATATCTTATTAGTAATTCAAAGTTACCATAATTCTATGGTAATTAAATATACAGATGCAAAATGTAATTATAATACTCCGAATGAATTTAACTGAAACCGATTATTATATATTTGGTAATTGACGAAACAAATATTAATTAACTTTATATATTGTTAATGTTAAATTTAAATAATGAAAGAATAGTATGAATGTGTAAATAACTTGTAAAAATAACACTCCGTCAGGGTTGTATTGGTCACAGGGAAGTTCAAAGGAAGGGGTAGTCATCCCCTCTACTCAACGCGCGCAGGGTCCTATGGGGACCCATGGACCACAGGATCTCATCTCGTCTGATATCTCCGAGCACTCTTACCGATTACTTGTAATCTCTCGGCTCGAACTTGTAACTTTTACTTATTACTGTTGATTAAAGTAACCAATTTAAAGTATTTCTTGTTGTAATCATTATAAAGTAGAATTTGAATCTCCCACCTATTTACAGGGTACACTTTAGTGTTTTAGCAGTTGAATTCCCCAACATTTTAATATTCAAAAATCCCTATTATCGAACTTGGGACGTGACATACAATTTAGGTTATTGAGGATTCGCGTATCTGGTCATTTCTAAATTGTAAATTCGGCATAATGAGCATTCGAACTTATGTTTTTGGTACAGAGAGTAGCACCCCGCTATTCACATGTTGCAGTCGTTGCAGTCAAAACGGTCGATTCAAAACAATATTTTTTATTGAAAGTAGAAATAATTTTTGTGTTAATGACATTATACTTTCATTGAATGGATTTTTTCTTTCGTGCTGAAAGATGTCATACAGTAAATGCAATAAATGTATAGTGCCGAATTGTAAATCTGGTTACTTGAGTTGTAAGGAAAAGGTGACTCTATTATCTGTACCGAAAAGTACAGAATTAATTAAACAGTGGCAATCGGCAATACCAAGGAAAGATTTCGTAGTCAAATATGGACAAGTGGTCTGTCACAAACATTTTCTTCCAGAAGATATTGTCAGGAAGAAGGAAGTGAAGGATCCATCAGGGAAAGTCATGGCGTCGGTAAATCTATTTCATGTCTTTTTATATTATTTGTATGAATTTAGGTGAAGATTCAATTTATTGTTATTTACAGGAAATAAGATATTGTTTATTTCATAATTATATATTTGGTTACTTGGATTATTTAAGACTTTTAACTGAAAATTTGATATAGAAAGAACATAATTTTTATCTTAATCTCAACGCATGAATTAAACAAAATCTTATGTTTATTTGTAACTGTGTTGATATAATTATAGAAATATATGTTTTTAGTAACAAAAATAGTCTAGAATTGTACATTTTCATTTTAATAAAATGTGATTTTGTTCGATTTTTAAAGTCTTAAAATTAGAGTAAGTAATTCAAATCTTGGAAAATTCTGTAGTTTAGGGGAAGTGCGCCGGTTGTGGGCACCCCTACGTAAACTTCGACGGCAAGCAGACTTTACTGATCTAAGTATTGCAAGTCGTGTTCGTTGACAATACGGACTTTTCGTATTGATAACGAAACAAATATATGCATTTGTGTAATAGCTGTGAGCATAATAATGAAAATTTGCATTAAATAAATAAAAAAGTAATTTTGTATTGTTTTCGAAGAGCAACATATGGGTGTAGATTCGTTCAGAAAAGAAGGGTTTAATTTTTTTTTGCAGTGTTGTCATATTTTGTGATTTACCTTCGTGTTTAACTAAAATCCTGCATCACAAAATGTGTTGGTCTTTTTAAAAAATGACTGTCATTCCCGGTTGTGGGCACCTTTATGTTAAGGAGGCTCTACCATCTGACAATGATGAGGACTACTGTCTCATCTGTCTAAACTTTCTGCCAAGGAAAGTGACAGCCGCAAACTCCATTAAATGCGATGAATATAGTCGTTCAGTGCATTAGAAGTGCGTTATGGTATGCGTACTAGCTACTTCACATGCAAGCATTATGCTTTTGTTAGCGATGAGCATAGTGTGAAAACGTGTCATCATTTTTGTTCTTTATCCCGGCAAATTCTCTTAAAATAAAGAAACTTTCATTTCTTCTTTATTTGTGTTGGTTTCCTTTAATATTTTTCCATTTTTAGCGGATTTTTCAAGGGTGCCCACAACCGGGTACAAAATTTTTTTGTCAAAAAATTCCCATTTCACTAAATTTCTAATAAAACTTTTTTATTTAAAGGAATCAATTTAATTCCTTCACTGACAGTCACCTTAGACCTCTAGCTTTAAATTCGTACACATATATTTCTATAATATGCACATGGACAAATGTTATGAGGCAAAAACAAAAGGGTGCCCACAACCGGAACACTTACCTTACTTAAAAAATTATTATTCCAAAAAAACAATTTTTTTTGAAAATTTTCTTTTATTTTTAGGAAGATTTAAAAAGACCATATTTGAAGCCGGGCAGAATTCCTAGTATTTTTCCAAACTGCCCTTCTTACTTAACCAAAAATACGAAAAAAAGAAAGTCTCCAAAAAAACGAAATTTTGTCGATGAAATTAAGAACCCGAAGAGGAGAAAAATTTTTGACAGCAGTAAAAATCAGATTCCAGAGGCTGATAATGATTCTGAGAATATCCTAAAAGATATTAATAATTTAAACAATTTAAAAAATGAAATTTTAGAAACTGAAACACCAGCAGATTTTGATCAACATGAAAGTAAAGAAGAGCGTGAAGCTTTATTTAAATTGCTTTTTCAAAACAAGGACAGTTTGCTTCTTCCAGTATCTTGGAATCGGAGACAATCGAACGACGGCGACTTTGAGGCAATCGAGTTAACGAGAGTAATAACACGTAGAGTCGCTAATAAATTATTATTTGTTCCTTCAAAACAAATAATTATTTATCAAGACTTACGTGTAGAGATAAAGATAATGGGAAACAATTTAGATTTAAATTCAATTGGCTTTGAAAAAGAATGTGTATCTTCTACGGAAGACATCGAAAACCTCGTAAATCGTCTAGACGAAGCTCAAATTCGTATTGGTTATGGTTCCCCGAGTTCGAAAAGAAATTGAAAATTCATTTGCATTTTATGATACTGAAGGTCGTTTGCGACATGGGAAATGTTCCCTTATTGTTCCGAAATCTGAAAAACCTGGAAAATTTCTTCGCTATCAAAGCTGCAAAACTGGCAGAAAAGTGTTGACTAAATAAAGCCCGAGAAACCATTACCATGCACGAGCACAATAAAAAGGTAATTTTTTAATAATAATTATCGCATTATGTATTTGTATATTTCATTTGTTACAGAGACTATACAGGTTGTCACCTATTTTTTTTAGTTATATTTATGGAAAATAAATAATTTAATAAAGTAATAAATAAAAGGAATAGTAAAAAAACAATAAAATGAATAATAAAATATAGCAATAAATAAAGATAATAAAATAAAATTTCTGCATTTCTTGGTTTAGGTATTTGTCATTAATGGACAACACTTTCGATTCGATGACAACTTTTTAAAATAATTTTCTGAATCGTTCGCCAATAAACCGGATAAATATCGTCATGGACTGTTATCGTTTGATGAAATCACAAAAAAGGATGTCCGACTGAACCATAAAACAATGGAATTTTTAGGATACGGATTACGGGGTCAATAAGGACATTAATGTCAGCGTGAAATAATTTACATTACTATTGTTACATTAAAAATTTCATTTATTAACTTTTTAATATATTCATTATGTTTAATACCTGTTTCTCAAATAGTTTTACATTTTTAATTTATTTTGATGAATTTTAAATTTTTTAGTATTCAAAATTCTTCTAAATTGAAAAAACAACTAATAAAATTCAATAATATAGATTTTCTTATTATTAGAAATGTAATCTGCGCCTAATATGTAATAAAGTTGAATTACTTTCTTTACATCATTATATTTATTCAAATCACTCCTTTTGTCGGGGGAACGTATGTGGCACCACCTGAAATGTACAGTTGATTTCTTCTCTACTGACAGAGATTGTAAATGTACCCTTATTCTGCCAAATACACACGTTTTCGCTTTGAAAATTGCTATATATTACACAATATCAGTGATCCAACCCAACCCTGTTACTCGTGTTGAACGTGTTGAATTTGCATACGAATAATAACCTAAAAACTCAGAAGTGTCTTGTTTTGCTATTATTGCATGTTGTGTTGTTTGAAACTTATGATAATTCTCTCGAAAATTTGACAAAAATGTGCTAGATGTCTTTGTCTTTTATAATTTAACATAATATAAATTTTTAATCTACTATAGATGTGTATATAATTATTTGGTGTATTATGTATGAACAAATTTGTGAGTGACAAGATTTTTGAAAATTTTTCAACTCCAAAATAATGTGTAGTACAAAAGTCATCGGTTACTGGATATCAGAGAAAAAGCGACAAAAATTTAACTGGCTAGAATTTCAAAATATTTGCAAAAGAGATGGATTCTCCTTGAAAATTGTAAGTTTGCAATTAGATGATATCATATTTTAATTACTTGCATTTGCAAATACGCGCATGTTTACAAGTCATGGTATTATGTATATATTTTTACGAATTGGTAAAAATCTTTTTATATTCCTATTTTGATTAGTTATTTTTAGAAAAATGAATCATGGTAAAAAACAATTTATTTATGTCAATAAATTATTCTCTGCAGATTGATATTAATTCAAACGTAGAATCTCAGGGACCAATTCATGTTTTTTTGCACAAACTCACAGATGTCCTTGCTCATGCAGAAAGTGGAGATCAAGCTGTAAGTCACTTGTAAAATGTTTTTTTGTACTAATTAAATGTTATATTTTGTAAGAAATTTATTCTTTTTTGGAGCACCCCCCCCCCCCTCAATTTAAATGAAATTTGGTAGTTAGTATTTAATTTATTTTATTGCTTCCTCAAGGAAACATTTTAGCTAAAATTTTTAAACTTGTTTTTTAATTTTATTTAGGTTTTCTACAACAATGAATTCTATATACTACCAAGTTTTATTTAAATTGGCAAAGCTACTCCAAAAATGGAAAGCATTAATCATCACATCACCTCCTGTTTATATTATGCTTATTAAAAAGTTAATGTTCTTATTCAAGATTCTGTGAAATATAATTTTTATTCAAAGTTTCCGTGTATTATAAGTCTTATTCAAGTTTTAGTGATGATGCTGAAACTGATATCCACTTAATTTTAGAAATTAAATTTCAAAGTTAAATATTTTTTTTGTTTAAAACCAACATAAAATTTTAATGTATTATTTATTTTTTATCAGGCAAAAGAAATTATTACCAAAGTGCAAGGATACATACGAAAACATCCAGAATTATTAGTGATTGATCCCTTGGAAAATGTAAAGAATTTATATAATCGACAATTATCGTATGAAATTATACGAAGTGAATTAAAATTTGACGGTAAATATTTTTAGTATTAAATGAAAAAACACAGATCTGCGAGAGTCAATTACAAGAACTTGAACTCGCAAACCTGTATTATATATATTATTATATTGTATTTAATCAAGTTTATCAACTTTTTTTCTCAGAAGTTTTTGTTCCAAATTCTGTGGAAATACAAACCAGTAATGAAGACCAAGTTTTATTTCTTATGAAGAGAAATGGAATTCAATTTCCGTGTGTATGCAAACCATTATTCGCTCATGGATCAAGTGATGCTCATAAGGTAATTATTCATATTTCGATTAAATTATTAATTTAATAAAAAGACTTTATTTTAGCTTTCTAAATTACAATTCAACGCTTCCAGTTCAAAGCAAGATAAGTCTTCTTCAAAATCGCGTATTTTTGTTTTTGAGAAAAATAAAGTAAATTTTAATGAAAATTAAATTTAGAAATGTAATCACTTTAATTAAATTCTTCTCCGAAATTCAATTATTTACAATTTCTTTATAAATTTCTTCGCAAATATTTTCATACATGTAATAAAATTCTTTTTAGGAACTCGAAAAATGTAATTATTCTTAAAAATTTTATTAAAATTCGTCAAAAGAATTCAATTATTTAAAAATTTGTTGATAAACTTCTTTTTGAGAATTGAATTTTAATTATTTTTAAATCAATTTTAATCGAATTTCTCTGAAAATGCAATTATTCTTTAAAATTTTATTAAAAATCGTAGAAAGAATTTAATTATTTAAAAATTTTTTGATAAAGTTCTTTATGAGAATTGAATTTTCAGAAACATTCATTTATTCAATAAATTATTTATTTAATTTGTATTTAAATAATTGAATTCTAGTAGAATTTTCTAATAAAAATTTAGTTAAAAATGAATTTTAGTTAAAATTTTAGATAATAATTGATTATTCAAAGCAATATAGCGTGAAATTTAGTAATAATAAAATTTTTAAATTAATTTTTCTAAAAAAGTTTAATTGAATTTTTTTTATATTATTTGAAGTTTTTATTTTCTAATATTTATTTAAATAAAATTGAATACCGTTTGTAAACAAAGGGATTTGAAAATTAATTGATTTAAAGAAGAGTTTTAGTTACAATTTCTTGAAAATAATAATGATAATTGAATTAAAATGATGAAAATATTCTTATAATATAATTAAATAATGTTTTTATCAATTTGCCATCTTTTATTTATTGTAAAACAATTTAAATTGCCTATAGTTTTAAGTAAAATGTTCTCTTATTTGACATCTTATCTGCTTTAATTTCCAGATGATGATCGTGTTTAATGAAGACGGATTAAAAGATTGTCAAACGCCTTATGTGGCACAAAATTTTATAAACCACAATGCAATTTTATATAAACTGTTTATAGTCGACGGTCGATTTCACGTGGTGGAGAGACCAAGTTTAAAAAATTTCTATCAACGTGATTGTGCTTCGCTTAAAACAATTTTCTTCAGTTCACACGACATTTCAAAAAGTGGCTCAAATTCAAAGTGGTCAATTATTTCCGAGGATGATCTACATCTTGGCGTGAAACCAAAGAATGAATATTTTCAAGAAATTTCCGAGCAAATAGTCAAAATATTTGGACTCATTTTGGTTGGTGTCGATGTTGTCATTGAAAATCATACCGGAAAATATGCAATAATTGACGTCAATGTCTTTCCCGGCTACGATGGTTATCCACATTTCTTTGAGCATCTAATTGAAAGTATAAAGAAACGTCTGAAAAGTCGAAAGGTTTACAGTAAACAAAATTTTAACACTGAATCAAGCTTCAAGAATTCCTTCAGCGAGGATCTTGATTCTGGTTTTGAAAGCGATGAAAAAAAGAAACAATTTTCATTGTCATGATTTTAAAATCTATTTTTAAATGAAACTCCATTTTATAGTTGAAAATTTTTGTACATAACACAGTTTTCTATTTTTCTCAATATTGCACGATTTTTGTAAATTCCTCTACTTTGAATATTAAGTTTGTTTAAATTTTATATTAAGTTAAACATTGAAAATTATAATATATGCTCGTTATTGATAATAATTTAAATTATCCTACGAAAACAACGTCAATCAAAATTATTTTCATGAAAATTCTTTCAAATTTTCTCCTAAATTCCATATTAAGATGTGAAAATTTTTTTAAATGAAAATAAAGAACAATTTGTAATATTTTTACCAAAGAAAAATTCCATTTTTTAAGAAAATCCACTAATCTTTTTACTCTACCTTTCTACTCTGTAAAGTGAAAGTAATTTTGCAAAAATGTTTTGACGATTCACACTCAGGAAAAAGTCTTCGAAAATAAAAGATTTATGAAAATAGCTTTTTTTCCGAACAAATAGTTTCAGAATAATAGACAACTATTTAATAAAGTTTTATTTTATACTTTTAGAACTTTTAGATTTATGTAAAATTTTATTTTTATTTCAAATAGTAATATTTATATTTCCATGTATACGGGTTAACAAAATAAAAAAAAAGAGATGTTCTTTAATATAAAAAGAAATTTATATTCGCTTCGTTGTAAAACTAACAGTATTATCCAGTGTGTTAGCGATTTAAATTGTCACGTGAAACATCGGTCATCGCTAAGTGATATTTTTAAATTTCCGATCAATTTCTTTATTTTGTAAATAAGAGTTTTAATTTATTCAACTGTACATAAAATTTCCTGTAAATCTGTAAATAATTCTCAAGAATGTTTAAAAAAAATTTTTCAACTAAACTCACAATCAGTGAAAATTATTTTTATAAGAAAATATTCATCAGTCTGTGTAAAGTTCGATTATAATTCCGAGAATATTCAAAAATATGTACAAACTAGTTCTTTTTTTAAATGAATGTGAAAAAAGTAGCTTTATTTACGAGGCTTTATAGATTTGTATAAGGTATTTCCTAATAAATAAATTTTACATAATTTAAGATAAATAAAAAATTATTTTATTCATACCTTCATTTTCATTCAAGTTTTACATTGTAAAACTTATTTACATATTTTCTATTTTTTTTAGAATTTTTTCAAATTCTGAAGTCCTTTAAAATTCAAAAAATACTTTTCGAAGAAAAGAATTTACTTGTGAATAAAAATTCTATGGAATTTTTTTTACTTTACTTCTTTTGAAATTAATTTGTCTCATTATCAGCGGATTCTGTTGTTTGATTTTCCACCTCTGAATCGGCAGTGTCGGAATTCTTTTCATTTGATTCGTCCTTTTTCTTCCAGGCTTTCGCCGCCGCTAAAAATTTTAAATCCGCTCTTTCGTTACTTGGTTCAACAATCGGAGAATTTGATGATTCAGTATCGTCAGTATTTTCGTTAGTTTCCAATGATTCTGAATTACTGTGATTCGACAGCAGCATTGCCTTTTGCTTCCAAGCTTTCGCTGAAGCCAAAACTTTCAAGTGCGGTCTTTGAGATTCATCTTCAGGGAAAATAAAATCAAAAACTTCCTCCCATCCATCGTCAGACTGAAAGTAAGGATGAAAATTAATTTTACAATTTGAAAAGGAGATTTAACAAACAAGCGGAATTAAAATTTTTTAAATTAATATTTCGTACCTTATCTTCTCCAATGACACGTCTTCGTCGTTTAACTCTACGAGGCATTTTCTCCAATATTTTCGACTGACTCTCTTCATCGCCGTAATTATTTTCAAAATCTCTCCAAGCCTCCAGGAGAAGAGCTCGGCTTTCTTTATTTCCATTATCACGCAAACAATTATTGCCGCGTTCAAATATTCGTCTCGCCAGAACAACGTTATTTAATCCCTCTTCAGACACTGGATTTGTCAATTCGAATTTTCCGTAGGAAATCCATACCTGCAAATTTTCATTACATTTTTATTTCAATTTATAAAATGAAGCCTAAACTGCTTTTCTAATTTATATTTTCATATTTTTTAAATCGATTTGAACTTGAATTTTTGTTTTGACTATTGGATATAATTTTCCTTAAAGGAAAAATGTTATTAAAATGAAAAACTTACCTTTACATGTAATGTTTTTTCTAGTAATCTTTCGTACAGTTGTCTGGCCTTTTCCGGCTCGTCTTGTCCTCTTTCAAAATCAATATATGCTTTCCATAGAACGTCTGGCATTTCTAAACTAAAATTTACATTCACTTTTAATATCAAAAAAATATTGTGAGAATAGAATTTTAATTCATTTTAAAAACGAGCAGAGAATTACTTACACAGGTTGTGAGATTGCTAGTTCATAAATGCCACGAGCACGTTCAATGTCTCCTAAAAGAGTTTCCAGTTCGGCAAACTAACAAAGAATCGAAAATTTCACATAAATAAAATCCTTTCAATATTATATCATGTACCTATTATGTCTTTATTTTTCTCTAATAATTTCATACTTTTCCCAATCATCAAAAACATAATTTAAAAAAACAACAAATGATGACAAAATATTTGCAACAGTTTTAAATGAAATTATTAATTATTTCAATTTTAATTGTGTAATAATAATTAAAAAACTAATATATTATTAATTACCTTCATCCATGTTGTGCAATTTTCCGGACCAAATTCAAGAAATTTTTGATACAAAATTCTGCACCTATCGAATTCTCTTAGTTGAATTTCCAAATCGATGTAACCACGATATAATTTATTCCTGGGACATATTCCTAACGCCATTCCCTACAAGAAAAATTGTAATTGTAATTAATTAAATAATTAGTATATTGATTTTCTAAATATCAATAAATTTAATAAAACAATACAAAAGTTAATTCATTAAAACGTACCAGAAATTTCCTAGCTCCCGTCAAATTCTTTTGTCGAATTTCAAATTGTGCGTACATTAGCCAAATTTTCGAAAATGTGAATTTCTTATGTGGAATCAAATTCAAACATGCGCTGTAAAAAATAAAATACTTATTATTTTAAGTTTATTTTTCTATAACCATCTTTACTAAAAGTTTACATTAGAAAAAATTATTTTAATCAAATATTTAATTGATCCAATCTATTCCTCTTTTTTTTAAATCTAGTAAACATTTCCTTTTTAATACTTTACTTTTTTTGTACTGAATAGAATAAATACCTGTAAACTTGTCGACATCGTTCTATATCTTCGGTTTCTAATTCTTCATAAAGCGCATAATTTATCCAAAGGTAAATGTATCTTCTCCAGAATTGTTTATCCTGTAAAAGAGAAAATTATCTTAAAAAATAACGAAAGTAGTAAAAAATAATTCCAAACAATTGTGAAGAAAAATTTTCTATTGTTTCCAAGTATGAAATGATTAATACCGTCGTTGGTGGGACATTGGCTATCGCACGCTCATAAGTTTCTCTGACAATTTCCACTTCTCCTTCAGATTCCACCAATCGCAAATAATCAAACCAAGCATCATAGTTGGACGGATTTTCTTTGACTTCCTGTTCGTACTGATGTTTTCGCTTGCTGACAATCACATCTTCAATTCCTGTTTAAAATAATCAAAAACTTAAGCAAGTTAAAACATTCATGTCTTAATAAATAATCAAATAAAATTCGAGCCAGAGGAATAAAAATTTACCCGATCGATCTCCGTACTTCTTCTCGTGAATTGTATAAGCTTTGTAAATTTCTTGCGTCTTATCTTTTGGAAGATTGTCCAATGCGTATTTGTAAATGACCCTAACTCTATCGTGCTGAAAGAAATAATTCAAAGTTGAGGCAACAAGTAACAAATGAAAATTATTTATACAATTTAATTGTTTATACCTCTCGTTGTCCCTCTTCAAATCTTGCGAATGCAATAACCAACTTGTCGTCCAAACTTTCGTCTCCAAAAAATACAAAAGCTCTTTCGTAAACCTTACGAGAACCATTTAAAAAACCATGATTCTCTTCGAAGCGCGCGTACTTGATCCAGTGTTTAACGTCAGGATGAACCATAACAAATCTTTCGAAAATATCTCTCGCTCTTTGAATTTCTTTGTAACGTAGTTCAAATTTTATGTAAGTCTGCCAAGCCTGCTCATCGGGCTCCCATTCCATCCACCGTTCAAATACTTGTCGAGCGCCTAAAATTAATTATTGCATTGCATTAAAAACGTTTAATTTCTTCATTTTATATTTTTTATATTGTTTACAAATACCGGCAATATTTTCCAACATTTCTTCCATGTAGGTGTATTTGTACCAAAATTGATTGACTCTCGGTAAAATTGAAACAGCGCGATCCCATAAATTGCGAGCATAATTCACCTGCCGATGGCGCATTTCCATTTCTGTGTACTTGAGCCATAATGTCACGTTTCTGTGATCTACGTCTAATGCTCGTTCGTAAATTGATCTGTAATTACATACAAATTTTAATTCTTAATTCATTGTCGTCGAAAAGTCAAAAAACAATTATCAATTTTTTTATCAGAGTTGCATAAAAGAAAGAGGTCTTCAATTTTTCTGCGATATAAAAAGGAATTTTACTAACAAACAAATATATATCTAATTATCTAAAATTTAAAAAACAGGTTTCCTACCATATGTTATTAAACAAAGTACCAGAAACTCCAAAAATTTTAGTGTAAAAAGTTAAAAATTCTTTTTTATTTGAAGTAAAAAAAGGAAATTTAATTTTTAAAAAGGGGATTAAAAAATAAAATAAAAAAGAGGGATTTTTTAAATTAAGTGAAAAATTATTGTATAATAGAAAGTACACAGATTTTTTCAAAGATTTCTTACTTTTTTCTTAATTGTAGTTCTTATATATCATACTTTTTTGTTCAATTTTGTCTGTTAATTATTTTTTTTCTCTTTTCCAAAACTGCAATTTTTCTAAATCTTGAATAAAAATTTTTATTAGAACCTTATGTACTTTTGCATTATTTAAATTCTATTAATTTTACTACATCCCAGTTTGATTTTTGAGCTTTCGGTAAATTGTGAATAATGTAAAGTAGCAATTAAAATACAATTCGAAATATTAATTCAATATTTAAAAATCATACCTAGCTCTTCTAATTTCGTTCTGACTTTCCTCCCACTGAGCGTACTTTATCCAATTGGAAATAACGATTCTGTTTTTCCTAATATTATCCTCGAAGACTTTTCTCTTTCGATGTTGATAATCAGCCAACTCATGTGGATCAGAGATCTTTTGCTTTGGCGGCTGTGTCATAAAAAGAGACAAGTAAGTAAATGCGTGCCTTAAATAAAAAAATAGATTGTAAAATTTACTCACCGGTGGTAGAATTTCAAGATCTCTTTCTTTCGCCTCTCGAAGAAGCTGCTCAGCTGTGATTTGTATCTCCGCTGGAGCTTTGTTCTTAACCTTAAATAAATAAGGAAAATATTGCAATAATTAAGCATTTTTAAATCGTCTGATTCGACAAATAGAGGAAATAAATATAAATAAATCTATTTCTACATTAATTTATTTAACTTTTACTTACTTTTGCCACTTTGGGCATTTTTTGTGGTTTCTCCATTCCGAATTTGTCAAAATCAAATTTGTATTTACAATAATATAATTTTTGTTATATTGTCACTGTAAAGAATAAAAATTTAATTAAAAACAAATTAGGTGAAAGAAATGATGTTATTTAGACGTTTTACAAGGAACATAACCTACTAAGTTTTATTTTTGACGTTTTACCCGTTGTACCGAGTTTTACCTTTTACCGCTTTTACCGAAGTTAGGCTGTGTTCACATGCTTGCATTAGTTGCATCCGAACATTCCGAAATCCGAACTTGCGTTGAGCAGGCAGCACGCAGCAGACATTCTGTAACCGTGCCATAATTCTTTTTATAAAAAATTCAGCATAAAAAAAATGAAAAAATTGTTTATATTATATGTTTATAAAATTTTTATAAACAAAAAGAATATTAAATGATAAATGAAACAGGTGAAACACTAAACAAATCTTCACTGTGGTTATAGGGATCCGAAATCTCCTGAAAATGACCCCGTTACGTCAGCCATATGGATTTTCTATCTTTTTCTGGAACATATATTAAAAAAGAGAGACAACTAGAGAAATTTTGGATTTGTCCCCTTAAATTTATAACAAAGAACACTCAAGTCGATCAAAAATTGTAGGCTATAGACATTTTTGAAACAGTAAATTGTAAAAAAAATCCCACTGTGTGGCTTGCACTAGATTTTTGAAATTTTTTTTAAAACTCATTAAATGCATCAGGCCCATTTCGAGACGTTTTTGGAAAATATTCTCTATATTATAAGGTTTAAATAAATAAAAAAAATCGGACCCAAAGTTGAAAAATTAATTTGCTTATAAAAAAAATTTTTTTTTACAAAATATCGGGAGACTCAAAATTTTAATTTCTTGTTTTTGAAGCATTTTTATTGTTTTATATTTTATCAATATCAGGAGAATCAAAATTTAAATTTCTAGTTTTTAAAGCATTTTTATTGTAAATTTTTCAAATATTTTTAATTCAAAGTTCAGTTTCTAAACATTTTTAATTAATTCATATATTATTTTAATGTTTTTTTTATTTTTAATTGGTTAAAACGTTCATTGAATAAATAATAATTTCTTCACATTTTTCTATTACACATCTATATTATATTGTTCCAGCTTCGTTTTTAAAATAAAAATATTTTTTTTGTTATAGAAAAAAAATTAGAGTTCTTTTTAAACCCTGAAACCTTTGAAAAAATACCTAGTTCGATTCTTTTCGTATATTCATAAAAAACGGTTTGTTTTTGCGATTATGCGATTATAGCGTCGACGCTTACGTCAGAAATTTTCATTTCTCATTTATTTTTATTTTTTCTTTAGTTTCAAGTTTCTTAAAATTATAAACAATAATTTTTATTTAGGATATATTATTTTAAAGAAAAATTAATTTTTTTAATAAAAATTTAATAAAGACATTTAATTAAGTTTTAATGCTTTTGAATTAAGCAAAAACTCTTAATTAATAAAAAAAAAATGTTTATTAGTTGACTACATAACAAAAAACTTTATTTCAATTACCAAAAAAATATTTGATGAAAAAATTTTAAATTGTGACATTGGAATGTGTGATGAATGATATGTATAATCCATATCAACGGATGTTTATGTAACAAAAGATCCCACTAGAATTTTAGCTCAGCGAAAACTTTTTCAATTTTTCTGAAGGCATCAAAAATTATTTCTGTGCTTATTATATTTTAAAAAAAGAATTCACATTTTTATGAATTTGTAATTCAAAAAAGAAGAAAATTTTGTATTTTGACGAATTATAATAATTTTAAAAAAAATTAAATTTCGTATTTTGACGAATTTATAATTTTTGTATTTTCCAAATGATTAAAATTTGTAAAAATTAATATAATGTATTATTTGAAACATTAAGAAAAACAATGACGAATAATATTATAATTACACTGCAAAAAGAAGTATCTTATTTAAGATGTTTTGATAGTCATTTCTAAGATGTTATTGTAGTCATCGCTAAACATCTTGTTGAGACAGAAACATCTTAATTTAAGATACTTTAAAAAACTTACAGAAGTATATCTTACTTTTTTAAGATAGAAGAAATATCTAAGACGTATAAAACATCTTAAAAATCAGTAAGATACTTTAGAAAACATCTTATTTTAAGATATCAAATAAGACACTTATTTTTGCAGTGTATGTAAGAGAAATATAAAGAATCTATAACTTTTAACATAGTTAAAACAAAACCAATGCCGCACAGGTATTTTATATTTTAGAATGGAGAAACAAATAAAATTTTAAATTCTATTTGTTAGAAAAGTAAAGAAATAAATTTTGAACATTTAAATAATTAATTATACTCCACTTGAATAAAAATTTAATTTTTCTATATAATTAAGAAGCGATTATCAAATTGTCCTGCTTTTTTATTCAAATATTAATTTTTTGAAATGTTGAAAATTAAATTTTTTACTCTCTCACCAAAATGATTATTTAAAAGTTTTATTGTTTTTTCATTTGAAATAGAAAATATTATAATTGGACATACTTTTGTTTAAATTGTTATTTGTTTGATTTTTCCTTAATCAAAAGCAATAAATTTTCAATACTCTCAATTGTATACATATTTTTAACCTTTCAATATACCTTTTAGTATTAAAAGAATTCAATTATTTTCTTGCATTTTTTGAAATCTAGCTAGAATTTAATTTATAAAAAATCATAACTATAATTTTACAATTTTTATTTTATAACTTTGATTTAAATACAAAAGATTTCGAATCAGATTTTTAAAGAATTGAATCTCATTTTTAAATACGAATAAATTTATAATTTAAAAATTACTTTAATTACATTAATTTATTTTTTTAATTTAAAATGATAAATCTGAATTTCGTAGAATATTTTTGTAAAAGCTTCACTTTTTCGAAAGTGATAAAAGACCAAAAAGAAAATTGATTTAAAAAAGTTGAGTATGGATATTTTGAATATTTAGAAAAAATGACTCAAAACAGAATCAGAAAATTTTAAGAGAATATTTTTCTCATCTTTTTTAAAATGTTTTTTAAAAGATGAGAAAAGTATTTTTTGTCCTACCTGCACGGAAAGTATGTCATTTCGGGCACTTAAGGCGGGCGCAAAGTAACACATTACGCCCGGGAGTGGGGGAAGCGGGCGGAAAAGTATTTTGCGCCCGCTTGTATGACGTCAGCGGGCGGTAAAGTATTTTCCGCCCGCTTCCCCTACCTCCGAGCGGGCGGAAAAGTATTTTGCGCCCGCTTGTTAATTATTCGATTTTCTTCATTAAAATGCGACATTTTCGACTTTCTTTTTATGTTGACTATAGAACTGCAAACATTTTCAACTTGTTTTATTTTGTCTATAAAAATTTGCAATTTTTTTTTTATTTTCTCTAAAAAAAATAATGAGACATTTGGTTTTGTTCCCATTTCGTTTATCAAAATTGTCAATTTTAAAAGTTCTTGTTTCAGTTTTGTTCAATTATTAATTACTACGTTCTAAATAAATACTATGTTTCCAGAATACATAGTTTTTTATTTCTATTTTAAAACTTCTATCATTATAAACTTCATTCGATGTAATGTTTATATAGAGCTTAATTTTTAACTAATATGAGCGTTTAATCGTGCGTGCCCTCAATGTCATACTTTCCATGCAGTTAGGACAAAAAATTATGTTCGCATCATGGGCGCAAAGGTGATTACGACTTTGGCGAAATTTCGGGACCTCGGGGACACTTTCGCTCCCTCGGCTTCGCCTCGGGCGCGAAATTGTGTCCCCTCGGTCCCTTCATTTCGCCATCGTCGCAATCACCTATTTTGCGCCCTTGTTACGAAAATAACTATTGCAAAATGCCCGCGCTTTTTGAGTTCACACGGTTCACACGTAAAAAAGGGGCATCAGGTTCAACGTGTTTTCAGAACTTAAAGGTACTCGCACAGCTCTGCATGCATGCGGTTGTCATGGTAACACATGAGAGGAAGTGAGTCAGAAAATTCATATTCCTTTTTTTTCTCTCTTACTGAGGGGAATCCCGTTATCCCGTTAATAAAGAATAGGAATCCCCTAATTATTTGTTGTGTTTCAAGTGGGGAGAACAAAGAGCGATGGAGAAGTATAAAGGCGCTCGCACAGCTCTACTGCCTGCCTGCCTGCCTGCAGGTCGTCATGGTAACACATAAGAGTAAGAGAGTCAGAAAATTCAAATTAAATGTTTTTTCTCCCTTACTCTCATTGCGCCTGCCTGTGCAGGCAGGCAGGCAGTAGAGGTGAGAGAGCGCCTTAAAAACCCTGGTTTTGCCCGGCGACCCATTCATTGATTCATTGTTTGAAGCAGTTTGAAGAACGTGCGTAGTTTTTGATACAGTAAATCATTCCTTGTGTTTCAAAAACCAAAGTAAGTACCTACAGAAAAAATCAAAAATTGTTTCCTCACTTTTTAAAAAACAAGAAATTAATTTACCTTCAATTTTAAAGATTTATAATTTATAATTTTTTTTTTAAATTAAAATTTCGTATTTTATTAATATAGGTAATTTTCTTTCATTTATATTTCCATTTTTTTAATTATTGTGTTACTTTAATTTTATTCTTATTTCTTTTTTAATTAAATCGATTTTCTTCTTTTAATAAGATTTACACAATTTTTAATCAATATTTTTTTTATATAATTATAATTTCAAACGATTTGTTAAAATTGTTTAGTAGTTTTATTATTTTATCATTTATTTATTACTTATAACTGTTGCTTATTTTATTATTACTTATATTGTCGCTATATATTATTATGAAAGATAATTTAAAAATGTAGATCATTAATTAAATTTTTTTTTCTAAGTCAATTTGTCAAATAGATAAATTTCGAAATTATCAATTAAACTTTTTTATCCAATTTTCATCAATAAGGTACCAATAAAATAAAGGAATAATTAATAAAATTGACTCCAATATAAAATATTTTCAATAAGCTTTCAAATTCCAATTTTTTCTAGCACGTCGTTCTTATACCCTACTTTTTTTCACTTTCAGTTATATAGCTAACACAGTATTTTGTAAAAAATTAGAAATATAATTTAATCATTCAAATAAATACAAAATAAGTAATTAAAAAGAAATTTTTTTTAAATTATCAAAGAAGTTTAAATTAAGTGTCAAATATTAAATAAATAAATAATTGAAACCAAAATTTTACAAGTTGTTCAACTTTCAAGTGCCTTATTTGCATAAAAATTTTAATCATAATTAAATTTTAATATAATATATAATAATTATTATAAATAACGAATTTAAAAAGTTTAAATTTATTTAAAATATAAAATCTTCAAACAACTCTATTTTTTGATAATTAATTATATGCGGGAAAAATTTGTCAAAACTTAAAACTTACCCAATATTTTTGTTTTTGTTAAAATTTGACAAAAAATGCTTGATATAAATTTTTTTATACATTTTTTGAGTTCAAATTTTTGTTTAAATTTTTATTCATTATAATAAAGTAATTAGAAATTTTTCATAACCATTTCTGTTTAGTAAAAAAATGATTCACATATGAGATTTATATAAAATAAAAATATCGTATAAAGATTTAAATGGAAATAATAGTTATTAAATTTTGTCTTTTTAATAAATGAAAACAATAAATGTGTTTCAGAATGGCTGACAGAAACGATCACCAAACTGGCAACCGCACAAACCAGTGCAACCCAAATCATCCACCAACAGGTCCGGGCCATCAAGCTGGCTATCAAGGAGCCGGGACCAAAGCCGACCTGGACAACAGAGGCAGGCAAATGAATCCCCAGGATTCAAAATACAATCAGAGAAAATAATTCAATTATCATTCTTATTTCCTTATTCATTTTTACACTAATATGTCAAATGTAAGGGATAAAATATAACAACATCAATTTTAAATCGACATTTTATTTCATTTAAAACTCAACATTCATCATTTTTCAGCAAAACAATATTTATTAATAAGAAGTTATTTTTATAAAATATTTCTTTTATACAGTTTACTTTTAATTTTGAAGATTTCATTTATTTTTAAAAATATAAGAACTTATTTACACAGTTTTAAAAAAATGTTTCTTAAAAAATTCAATGAAATATTGTAAGTGAATTAAATCTAAACTTAAAATCTCTCTTCTAGAATTTTAAAATAATTTGCAAAAAGAATTTAAATATATACTTTTCAGAGAGTACATTTTTTAAAATAATTAATAATCTATAAGACCGAAAGATGAACAATTATTGTGAAAACTGGAAACAGCATTGAAAACGGCATTGACGGTAAGTGCAATATTAAATATAAATACACAAAAAATGTTTGAAAATATGAAATGATAATAAATCATTAAATTATTAAAATTAACATAGTTAATTAATTAAATTTCAACAAATTTGATTACAATTAATAAAATTTGTAATTTGTATTATCAGAGTTTTTAAACTTCGAAATTTGTTCAAAAAAGGTAACAAATATAAAATAACTTTTACTTCTAAGAACAATTCCAACTTGTTTGGAATTTTTGAAATATTTAATTGAATTCTCAAAAATTTGAATGAAAAATTATCTTCAAGTGTAAATATAAAAATAAAAATTAGTTTCTAAAAATTATATATATACCTATTAAAATATTTTTGAGAAAAGTAATTCTTAGAATTTTTTCATTCCAATTTTTTAAATTACATTTGTGCTGTGGAGAAAACAGTCATGTTCAAAATTTCTACTTAAAATTATTAAAAAAATTAATTATTTTTTAAAAATTTTATAAAAATTCTTTAAGAAATTAAATTATTTTCAAAAAATTATATTACAATATTTTTAAGATTCAATTTTCAAAAATTTAATTATTTTAAAAGGTTTTACTAAACAATTAGTATTTTTAAAAGATTTTACATATTGAAAAATATTTTTAAAAAATTAATTTTTTGAATTATGTATTCTTTATTACAATTTTTTAACAATATTACACTACCTTAATGACTTTAAAAAAATACATGGACAGTTACATATTTATAATTATTATAAAAAATTAAATTTTATATTGAAATAATTGAATTTTCAAAAAACTTTCGGAAAATTATTAATAAAATAATTGACTTAGAGATGAACGTTAGTTTAAAATTGTAGAGAATAATTGAATTTTGAAAGGGGTATAGTATGTAGTAATGTTTAGAAAATTACTATATTTCTGAAGGGTTGAAATTAAAAATCAAAAAATTTTAATTCCTGTTTAAATAAACAAGTATTTATGTAAATATCTAGTTTACAAAATTGTTTAAGTTTTGAATAATTGAATTTAGAATTCATGAAAGGTCAGGGAAATACAAAATAAAATTTTTGTGAAAACACTGAATTAAATAAACGACTTTTCCGACTTTATTCTATTTTTAAATGTTGAGAAAAGTTTCACGCTAAACATTAACATTAAGTGGGACATTTAAATCTTGACACAATTTTCACTATAAACTTTGCAAGTAGATCTTTAATAAATTTCTATGAAAGTTTCGCCAGTTTCGGTGCTATGTGGAATAAATTGTGATGGATTTTTATGTCAATCTTTGATCCGGTCTCTCTATTCTTTTCTCTCTCATTTAAACATTTCGTTTTACGTTTTGCGATTTTGAATGTGATCTGGCCTTATACCGATCCGGAAAATGTTAAACAAAAAAAGTAAAAACTTAAAATTTACAAAATGGCATACATAAAATATGTGTAAAAACATTTATTCATTTTTATCAACATTTTTTACAGTTTTGTTAATAGATACATAATGATCTGTTTCGATTTTATTAATTTTTATTTTATACAAAGGTAGGTATAATTAATTAGGTAGACAGTAATGCGTACGAGCTTTCGCTTCGAGTGTCCACAAACAATTAGTTTACTTAATCATTTTCTATATTAAATATATATACTTTTATAAATATCGGACAATTCTTACATATCACTTTGTGAATGAATTTGGAAATTTATTTACCTACCGTGAAACTGTTTCTTTTTTTATTTTCTTTATTTTTGATAATTTTTTTTTCACAAATATGGCTCACTCGTCTTCCAATCAACGATAGCCCCCCTCCCACGATTCACATATCATTATCCAATGTTCATTTAAATTCTTACGACTAAAACAAACATTTAACCACTCGAGATTTTAGCTCGCATAAAAACTGTTTTAAATAAAAAAAAAGGTTTCTCAGACAATTTGTACATTTTTTTTCTTTTTTGCATTTTTTGACTATTATGTTTTTAGTCGTAAAGTGAGCTCTTCGCCTATAAGATGAAAATTTGAAATCAAGTGCAAAACTCTTTATTTCCGTTCCCCATCCAAGTTCCGAACAATTCAGTCGATTATTTTCTTTGTAGTAGTGTGATTCTTAGCTGGTGAAAGAATTGCCAAAGAGCTTATCTCCTTTCGAGATCAGATTACTTAGTCCCTGCCATTTCATTCGAACGCACAGCCAGGAGTTGTGAAACGATATCGGAATATCGAACAGAATTGGAGATAACTTCTTTGGCATAAGCGTTTATATTTTATTTTATTTTATTTTACTTTATTTTATTTCAACTTTTTATTTGTTTCCGTTTTTACCGAAATCAAGTCCAGTGAAGAGGACACTGTTAGTCATCTCGCAAAAATTATTTAAGTTCCTATTGGCATAAACACAAAGTTGAATTTCACCTGAGCCATAATTTCAATCGCAAGGCATCGACACCGTTCAAATAATACCGAAAAAGCCGTTTGTCTCTAACGAAGCCAAGGTTTTCATACAGTCGCAGCGCAGGACGATTGGTAATTTCAGTCTCTAAAACCACCTCATCGGCGTCGTCCTCCACCATCGCCACAATTGCACGTCGCACCAAATTCGAGCCAATCTTACGTTTCCTGAATTTCACGTCCACCGCCAACATTGCAATGTAACCGCGTTTTATCACCTTCCTGTGGATGTCCAGCTTGCACACGATGGCACCCACGCACTCGGTTCCGTGCATCGCCTTTAAACAAATTATTATTATTATTAATAAAACAAGCAATACTCTTTCACTTTTATTTTATTATTTTATTTGCAGGCCAACCAACTTCAACTTGTACATTTTACTACCGCTAAATATTTTTGGGTATTGTATTGTGCTGACACTAACACTATCTAAATTTATAAGAATGTGGAGTAACTGAGCAATAAAGTTTCAGTTTATCAATTTCCTTGACATTTCCCTGACATTTTACTGACATTAAAATTATTTTCACTTTTAATTTATGAAATTTAATAATTTCTTAAAATTACAATCATAACCCTTTCTGAATTCAATTATTTTAAATAATTTTCCGAAAGTTTTTCGAGAATTATTATTATTGTAACTGTCCATATTTTTTTTTAAGTTTATTAAGGTATAGGTAATATATTAAAAAAAAGATAATCGGAAATTTTATTAAGTCTAAAAAAGTACATTTTTATTTGCTTTATTCGAAGATAATTAAATCTTAAAAAATTATGACAAAAAAATTCTAAGAATTAAGTAGGTAGGTATAGTTTTTAAAAATATTTTAATGTGATTTTTCGAAAACAATTCAATTTTTTTAAAGAGTTTTTGTATTACTTACCTATTTAAAAAAAAATTAATTTTTTAATGGTTTTTAATTAAATATTTTGAACATGATTTTTTTCTCCAATATGTTAAAAATAATTCTAAAATGTCATTATAAGAAAAGTCGCAATTTTTAAAAATAAATCGAAAAAAATCTCAATTTTCTAAATTTCCCTGACAAAAAATTTTTTTCCCTGACATTTCCCTGACTTTACTGTCATGTGGCCACCCTGGAGAAGATATATTTTTGGAACAATAAGGATCTCGAACTTTGTAGAGCCTACGAATCCCCTAAGACACCTAAAATCATAAATTTTCTACCCTATTTTTAAGAAAAACTTGTAAAAATTGTCGTTTTTTGTAAGTTAGAAATATTTTTAGCTATGCTTGAAGAAAAATGTTTACTTTTCGCAAACTTTGGAAAAATTTGAGTATTTTGAAACTTATAAATCTTTCTATATTATTTCTCAGTCTTTAAACTTAAAAATTTTTTCATAAAAGGTAACAAATATAAAATAACTTTCACTTCTATGAAAAATCCAAATTGTTTCGAATTTTTGACAAATTGCATTAATTTCATACTAAATTTTACCGAATTCAAAGCATATTTTACTAATTTTCAATCTCTGTATATAACGACTTTTAATAGCAAAATTTACTATTTTAAATGATAATTTTTTTATGAAAATTATTCAAATTTTTCTCGAACATTATAATTAACTATTAAATATTTTTATTTTTATAGTAAATTTTACTATTTTTTTTTTAATAAATTTTTCTAATTTTTATAGAAAAAGGCTTTGAAAATAGTAAAATTATAATTATGGAAATAATAATCTTAAATATTAAATTTTACTATTTTCTGAAATTTAGTTCGTAGGTAATCGTAAAGTTCATGTAATATTGAAATTAAAGTAGCATTCTAATAAAAATTTTGATTAAAAATTAAAAGAAAGTTACGGACTACGTTAAAAGATAAAAAATATCAATAATTAACAGAAAAAGTTTAACAAAAAAAATAATTTACTTTAAATAAGCTGAAGTTAAAAGAAAGAGTAAAAAATCGATTTTTATTTTTTTTTCTTTAAATGTTCCTTGGTATCATCAAATTACTTTCCCTAAAACAATTTTGAAAAAAATATGCAAAAGAAAAAGTTATGGCAATTTTTCTGACATTACGAAAACTTTAAACACGTTTTTCTCGAAAACACATTTTTGAAAAGGGGGAGACACTTTTCTCGAAATCTACTGAACAACCGATTTTAAAAAATCAAAAATCATTCGATTCTTTATATCAATAAGTCTAGACAACAAATATCTAAACTTTCATATATGGAGGTGGTAAATGGACCCAAAATCACAGCATTTTTTTGATTTTTTGAGAAAAATGAGTATAAAAAATTGTTTTTGAGGTTTTTTGTCTAGAAAAAACTATTATATAAGGAGAATCTCGTTTGAATTTTTAATTTATGTAAAATAGGTTGCCCGGAAACTATCTTTCTGAATAAAAGGCACCTTTTGGAAATCGCCAACTGCTGTTGCGACAATGAACTGAAAATAGTGAAAAAAATTTGTTTAATTCTCTTCTTGTAATATGTAACAATATCCAAAAGGAATTTTTGCAATAACTATAACACATTTTTTACAATAAGAGTTTAAAAAAGTGTGTTTTTTACAACTACTAAAATTTTCAAAGATTTGAATTAAAAAATCTTTTGACATTTAATATTTTTAAAAATTCTTACTAGAACGCTTCTAATTGCTTTTAATATTTAATTATTATCTAAAATTTTAATTCAAATTCAGTTCTAAATCAATTTTATCAATATTTTTGAAAATAATTGACTTCTTTCGAAGAATGTTAATGAAAGTTTTGAAAATAATTTTATTTTGGGGTAATTCATTTAAAATTGTATTAATTGAAACTGTCACTCGGCAAAATTTTAATAATAATTAAAATCCTGAAAAGATTTGTATTATTTATGGAAATAATTGAATTCTTGCAATGAATCTTATAAGATTTTTTTTAAAATCATTGAATTCCTGTGAAAAATTGGTGAAAATAATTGAATTCCTGGGAAGAGTTTTATTAAAATTTTTGAAAACAATTCGTTTCTTTCGAGGTACTTAATTATAATTGTATTGAAAATAATCGAATTCTTGTAAACAAATTTTAGCAAAAATAAAAATAATTTATTTCTTTCGGAAAATTTTATAAAAATTCTTTTAAATAAATGAATTATTTAGAGAACTTGTATCAAAATAGAAGATATTGAATGTCATTGAATTCATGTGGAAAATTTTATTAAGATTTTTGAGAATAATTATTTTATTTCAACTATTAGCGGATTTAAAGTAGTGTAAATTCTCAAAAAAATTATAAAAGTTGCTTGTAGTGTCACAAATCTAAAAAAGTATCCAAATAGTAGAAACAATACGTGTTTCTCTATTTTTCGTAAAGAATGGAATAAGTTGTCGTCGGCTGGAAATTTACAACTTGAAATTAGTCAATCAGCATGATTAATTAAACTTGATTTGAGGAGAATTGTAAATATTAGGTAATTTAGAATTTTCTGCTAAAATAATTGTAATAAATTAAAGTATATTTACCAAGAAGCATAATTTTGGCCAATTATGAATGAAATATCTATAGGTATAAATAGAGTAAGGTTCACTCAGATCCTTTTGAATTAATTTCATAATGTCGGGCATTTGCAATTCACTAGTGTAGCTCACATACTCAATGTCACTATCCTTATTTTCTGTAGATGTTTCTTCACTTTTCTCTGCAATAAAAAAAGTGTGTCAGTAAAAAGTAGATACGTATTCATTCCCTGAGATAAAGTAAGAATCCATCAATATTCATGTGAAAAAAAACTTTACTTGTTAAATCGATTGACGTGGACGTGCCTCAAACTTTACACTAAATAAAATATAAAAGTGGCTAAACCTACAGCTTTAAATGTCATCCTATCAATAAATTAGAATCGTCGGAAGAAGTAAAACAAATAATTAGTTAATAATAATATATTTACAGAAAATTTGTCATTTTGGGAAAATTGCCAAAAGAGAAAGAGAAATCTCTGACATTGAGAATGTCGAGAATGTCAAACGAAAAGTGGAAATTTCTTACCAGGTTGATTTAAATTTACATGACTAGTTTCCACATTTTGGGATTGAATTTCAGATGTTGTGGAATCAGAATTACTTTGGAGTGATTCACAAACGCCGTTCATCTGGTGCAAGCCATTTGTTTGTGGTTTTTCCTCTTCGACCTTGTCATTTTCCAAATTAAGTCGAGACTTAATATTTAGAGTGCCAACGTCAGTGATTACACTATTCTTTCCAACTTTTAATTTTGCTTTCGTTCCCTCTGTCACGGGTACTTCCATAGAATCCACAATTGTGTTCCCCTTAATGTCATCCATTTTTCTAACCCACAATTTTTCCCCAAAATATAATAAACAACAAAAATCACTTAATAAAATTATAAAATCCAATGAGTATTTACACCAAAAGAAAAAAATTCAGGGACAGAGGAAAAACCTCCGTCAGAGGCTAAAAAAAAATTTTTTTTATTTTTCCCCCCCCGAAACTTGATTGAGTGCTCGCCTCGTACAGCACTTATTATGACCAACAATTAACTTTTAATCGAATTTCCATAGTTTTTGATTCGTTTAAAATTACTTTAATTCAAAAAATATTTAGGGACGTTCAACGATAACCGCTGAACGACAGACACCATATTGGATTCTATCTCTAGTGAAAATTCACTTGAACGAAACATATATTTTTTATCTGATTCAATAAAACTTGGTATCAAATTAAGGCAAATTCACAAGTTGTATTCATATCGCAAAAAGGAATTTTCTCCTCTGTCTTTTAGAATTTATATAAAAAAACTGGCTTTGTTCATTACTGGGACGTTTCTTACAAGCACGGAAAAGTACGAAAAAACATAAATATTGTCATAACAATAATATGACTTCTAGAAGAGAAAAACACAAACAAAATGATTGGAATTTTCCCGCCAGAGAAAGTGGAAGTGGTTTGGAAACGAACCTTAAGTTCGGGCGTTTACCGGCACTCAGGATCTCAGCCCCCCACCATTTGACCATTTCCGAAAATGTCGGAAAGAAATAATGACGTAGGATTGTGATTTTACAGATATACAAATTTAACTCGTTTCAGTGTTATTCGATCGTGAAGTTTGTGAAATTTTTACTATAATTAAAGTGCCAATAGGATATTAATTCTACAACTTATAGTATTTCTTCTAGTTTCATGAAGGTAATGTATAAATGATAATATTTTACAGTTCCCCTCAACAATAGCAACTACTAATTAACACTCCCCTGAGAATAAGACACTGAATATTCTACTTTAGTTTCCTACTTAAATATTCCATTCCTTTTTTTATCCTTATTTATTGACATCTCTTTTTAACAAAAGAACTAAAATATAAAAGAAAAAATTAATTTTCCCATCCTGCACAAATTATGAATATTACTCATATACAATTTAATGACTCATACCAAGAAAATGTCAAACTGGAGCCTTTGGTTTGAGATGTTTATTTTGTTCTATAAATTTTTATCGTAATTCAGAAAGTTTATTACTTTAGATTTAATTTATGTATCTAGAAATTATTTTCAAAAATAATAAAATTACATGTTAGAAATACAAAAAATTTGTTTTGAAACGAGTAAATTTCAAGACTAAATTACAAATATTTCTTAATATTTCTAGATAAAACAAAAAGAAGTAGGTACCTAGACATTCACTCCGATTGAATTTGAAAAATATGTTTTTATTTGAAATGAAAATTAAGAATTAAAAATTTTTTTTGTCCGTTTGTACTGAATAACGAAACTGACTTTTTTTTTTTTTTGCAATATTTTAGAAAGAAAACTAAACGTCAAATTTTATTTAATTTGGCTGATTTAAACGAAAACTTTTTTCTGAGAGTCGAAAGTATAAATAAGTTCTTGGTTTTAAAAAATTTGCTCAATCTCTCGACATAACCCTAAAATTAAAGAAAAATGGAAAAATGTTTTTGCTCTGCCTACAATAAAATTTTAATGCGGGTGATAAGAATTTAATCTTTCAATTAAAGATTTTTTAAATTATTTTCTAAACATAAAAATTAAATTAATAAAAAGAATAAATGAATATTATTTTTGTATTTAAATTTTAATTGTTATAAGATAATATAATACAATAATAAATACATAGAAGAATATTTTTCACAAAGAAAATAATAAAATTTTTCTGTTTAAAATAGTTGATAAGAAAAAGTTGTTACAGATTTTCCAAACAAGTTTAGTTTGAAAAAATTTTTTTTTTCTAAATCATTGATTTAACGTTGTGAATTATTTAATTATTTATTAATACGTTTTTAATTATTTAACGTTGTAAACTTTATTAAACGCGTTAAAAAAATTAAACAAAAAGCATATAAAACGTTAAATAATATTTAATTAAATTTGAAAATTTTAGCTGAAAATTATGTTTTGAATCTTTCAATAATTTCTTAGTTACCTAATTAAGAAAATTTATTTTCTGTATTAAACTTACTGCATGATAATATTAATTTGTTTGTAAAAACTCTGTGTATATTTTAATTTAATTTATTATTTAAATAATGCTTAAAATCTTTTTCATTTTGAGATGATGCTTAAACATTTAAAAATGTTTACAATCGAGTCGATGCAAAAAAAAGAAATGAAGAAAAATGAGCATACCTATGTTTTTTGAAATTTCAGAATTCTTCACTCTAACGCACATGAAAATGTCAGACCAGTTTGGACCTATAACCCTGAAATGGGATCCAAAGAACTTGGAAATTCGTACGATGTCCGTGGAGAAGACACTGGAGCCGTTGGTACTGCAAGTAACAACATTAGTGAACACAAAAGGTCCAAGTAAAAAGAAGAAGGGAAAGTCGAAAAGAGCCAGTGCTCTCGTGGGAACTGTTGAGAAGGCAACTGCAAATTTCATCGAAAAAGGAGAACAAATTGCTTATGAGAATCCTGATATTACCGCTGAAATGCTGAGTGCAGTTGAGGAAGTCAAGAAGTCAGGCGATACAATGAGTATCGCAGCTCGGTATGTTGTTTTCGATATTTTATTTCTAACTTTCCCAAGTTTTTTTTAATGGAATTTATACTTTGTTCTGTATTTGAAACTTGAAAATATTATTAATTATTATTAATTTTTTTCTTTAACAGAGAATTTTCAGATGATCCATGCTCATCTCTAAAACGTGGAAACATGATTCGCGCTGCAAGGAGTCTACTCTCGTCAGTGACTCGTCTGCTAATACTAGCAGACATGGTCGACGTGCATTTACTTCTAAAGTCCTTGCAAGTGGTCGAGGAGGACTTGAAGAAACTACAAAATGCCTCGTCTCAAGGAGAATTGTTGGAGAATATCAAACAATTTGGTAGAAATGCAACTGAATTAATGAATCAGGCTGCGAAACGACAGCAGGAATTGAAAGACCCCCAACTTAGAGATGATTTGGCGGCAGCCAGAGCTGTGCTCAAGAAACATTCGACAATGCTGCTCACGGCGTCGAAGGTCTACGTCCGGCACCCGGAGTTGGCGGCCGCCAAAGCGAATCGCGACTATGTGATGAAACAAGTTTGCGAAGCTGTCAATACTATCAACGACGTTGCTCAAGGGAAGCCTTCCAACAATCAGCATCCTTACGACGGTCCGGGAGAATTGGCCGCCGCTCTCGACGAGTTTGACGAGAGAATGGTCATGTCTCCTCTCGCTTACAACGAGGTTCGCACTCGTCCGAGTCTGGAGGAGCGGCTGGAGAGCATCATCAGTGGAGCTGCACTGATGGCGGACTCCTCCTGCACTCGAGACGAACGCAGGGAGCGCATTGTCGCCGAGTGCAATGCCGTGAGGCAGGCCCTTCAAGACTTGCTCAGCGAGTACATGAAAAATGTAAGTTTATTTATTTACTTTTTATTTCAAAGTTGTGCAAAGTTCGACGACAAAAATACAGTTTGTTTGCTTATAAACTAAAGCATACTCTTTTACACAGTTATCACTTGTTTAACTTTAATGCCAAGAAAATATCAAAGTATTTGGTGCGCATTACTTCGGTCTCTTCTGTTTCCAGTTCCATTTCGATTTTGATTCCTTTCTTCACCATTTGTTGACAAGTAAAACTAGGGAACTGTCAGACGACGATTTTATTCAAAATGGTTTCTAACATGGTGGAATTTTATAAATCTTTATGTCAAAAGGTCTCTGAGGTCGCTGATTACGAATCTAAAGTCAGTTTTAAAAAATTCAAAATGACGAATCCAATATGGCGGTTTGATTTTAAAAAACTTTTTATTTCTTTGATAATTTGTTTCTAAAATGATAGAATTTTATAATCCTTTGTATCAAAAGGTTTTGAAAGTCGCTAATTATGAATCTGCAGTGTTAAATTTAACAATTTAAAAAAAATTATTTTTGATCATTTTCGGAACTTTATTTTTTGAAAAAATGAACATTTTTTAATATTGAATACCCTATTTAAAATTTTTGAAAATTGACTTCAGACTCATAATCAGCGACCTCAAGAACTCTGTGATACAAAGATTTATGAAATTCCATCATTTGTAAAAACAAATTATCAAAACAATTAAAATTTTTTTCAAAATTAAGTGATCATATTGGATTTGCCATTTTGAATTTACTAAAACACAAACTTTACATTCGTAATCACTATCAGCGAGCTCAAAAATCTTTTGATAGAAAGATTTATAAAATTCAATCCTGTTAAAAAGAAATTGTCAATAAAAATAAAAATTATTTAAACATAAACCGCCATATTTAACCCGGCATTTTGAGTTTTAGAATAAAGGTTTGAATTTATTATTCGTACATTAATGAAACCTACCCCTAAAATTGCAATAAAAAATTAAAAATCATTGTTACCCTAAAGGACTAACAATGATTTTGGGCCGATGTAAAAAACAGGTATAAAATATTTTCCAATGAACTACATGTATGCAAAATTTCAAAAAAATTGGCGTCTAACAGTTCATTATTTTGATTCATTATGACGAACAATTTTTTAATAATCGACTTAAATTTACTTGAAATTTCTTGCCTTAGAATTGTTTTGATACGAAAATTCACCCAGTTATAAATTTAAGTAAATCTAATTGGTTTACAAAAAGTTTACCGCCATATTGCATCCGCCATTTTGAAATCTAACCTTCTCGGAAAAATCTAAAACACTTTTGAATGTAACGTAAAAAAATTCGTTGAATAAAAATCTCTTCTAATTTTATTATTCAAGTTTTACCTTATGTTAAAATCATTTTAATTTAAATTAAATTAAAAATCAATTTAAAAACATAAAAAAAACATTAAAATTGTTTACTTACGATAAAATTGAAAATAAACATTTCGATTATTATAGTATTATTTTACATTTATTATATTTGTTTCTTTTTGTTAACGAGGGCAGTTGCTGATTGCTCGGGGTGGTAAAAGGGTAAATATTGAAATTTCCCTGAGTGTGTTTTTTAAAACTTTCGAATTGTTTATAAAAATGTTTTTCTTTCGTAGCATAATCAATTAACTACATTGTGATCTACTAAATTCTTCAGGATTTGCTTTTGTTGTTTTGAATTTTTAATACTGCTCTTAACCCTCAGATCGTATAATATATGCTGTTCTAAACTTGGTTTAATTTTTATATACTGCTATGCGTTCACATAATTGTATTATTAGGCTAACCAATTTTAAAATTAATATTTATCATGTTAATGGAGCCATTTTTTCATTTCTTTAATATTGTGAAACGTTCATTCTATTCAGGCTTTTGTTTTTACCATCCGTCAAATTTTTCTTTAATAATAAAAAATAGAAATGTGACGTCTCCGAGGAAAGGTATCTTAGAGGCTGAAAATTTTAGGTTATTTTTGTATTGGTTTTTTGTTATAATCAAAATATTTTTTAAAGGGGATCAACTCTCAATATAAATCACTGGTGGTTTATTTTTCATTACATCTAAAATAATTAATAAAAACTGATTTTGATTTTAAATTAAGCACAGAAACTTTTATTTAATTAAGGTAAAAGTAACATAAACATAACCTTGAGATGATTTTTTTCTAAGGTGAATTTCAACAAATAATTAATCATTTGTATAAATTTGTGCGCATAATATTAAATATTCAGTCAATGAAAATGATTGAATGACTAATAATTTAATTAACCTGCTATTTTAAAAGTTGCCCTGATTTTTGAAATTTTTGCTTATGCTTTATCTAATTTTTCAACTCATTTTAATTTGTTCCATTTTTTGTACAAAATAATTTCGTTTCTTAAAAATATTTGAGTTTGAAAATAATATTTTGCTAATTAAAAAAGGAGAAAGACGCTAAAGTCGAGCCAGAAATATAATTCGATATAGTCCGATGTTACTGAATGAAAACATTTGCTCTCGACAGATGGGAGTGAAGGAACAATCGGAAGGCCTGGAGCGTGCCATTGATCACATGTGCAGAAAGACTCGCGATCTGAGGAGACAATTGCGTAAAGCAGTTGTGGATCATGTTTCTGACAGTTTCCTCGAAACTAGCGTGCCACTGCTCGTTCTGATAGAAGCCGCTCGCAACGGACGCGACAAAGAGGTCGAGGAATACGCTCTCGTGTTCACAGAACACGCCAACAAATTAGTGGAGGTAAGCGACAAGTATCGACTTTTTATCATTATAAGCACTTATTTCTTTGTAAAAATGCAACGACTAATTGAGAAAAACTGTTTCAGGTTGCAAATCTTGTGTGCAGCATGTCAGGAAACGAGGACGGAGTGAAAATGGTTCGTTACGCAGCCGCTCAAATTGAGAATCTCTGTCCCCAAGTAATAAATGCTGCTCGCGTGTTGGCCGCACGTCCCCGTTCAAAAGTTGCCCTCGACAACATGGAAGTTTTCCGTCAAGCCTGGGAGAACCAAGTTCGCGTCCTCACTGAGGCCGTGGACGACATTACGACCATCGACGATTTCCTGGCCGTCTCCGAAAATCACATTCTCGAGGACGTGAATAAATGCGTTCTGGCCCTTCAGGAAGGCGACGCGGACACACTGGACAGGACTGCGGGGGCGATTCGGGGACGCTCGGCTCGCGTCTGCAATGTCGTTCAAGCCGAAATGGACAACTACGAACCCTGCATCTACACAAAGAGAGTTCTCGAAGCTGTCAAAGTGTTGAGGGAACAAGTCATGCCAAAGTTTGCTCAAAGAGTGGAAATCGCAGTCGATGCGCTGGGCAGTAATCCTGCCAAGGACGTCGACGAGAATGATTTCATCGACGCTTCTCGTCTCGTCTACGATGGCGTTCGAGAAATAAGACGTGCCGTCTTAATGAATCGGGTAAGGTTTTCGGATTTTATTTTTATTTATTTTTTCAATTTTTTGTATAATTCCTATTTTAAAACAATTTTTAAACAAAATTCTTTTTTTGAACAGGCCGACGAGGATTTGGATCCAGAAGATGTCGAATTAGATGAGCACTACACACTTGAAACGAGAAGCAAATCAAGCGCACAAACCGGCGAACACGGTGTTGACGAATATCCGGAAATCAGTGGCATCACAACAGCACGCGAAGCAATGCGTAAAATGCCCGAAGAGGACAAGCAGAAGATTCTCCAACAAGTGGAATTCTTCAGAAGTGAAAAATTGAAATTCGATAAGGAAGTCGCCAAGTGGGACGACGCCGGAAACGACATTATTGTTCTTGCGAAGCACATGTGCATGATCATGATGGAAATGACAGACTTTACGCGTGGCCGTGGACCACTGAAGACAACGATGGACGTTATAAATGCGGCGAAGAAGATTTCCGAAGCCGGCACGAAACTTGACAAATTAACGAGACAAATTGCTGACCAATGCCCCGAGAGTTCGACCAAGAAAGATTTACTCGCGTATTTACAACGCATTGCCCTCTACTGTCACCAAATGAACATCACCAGCAAAGTGAAGGCGGACGTTCAGAATATCAGCGGAGAATTGATCGTTTCTGGTTTGGACAGTGCCACGTCTTTGATTCAAGCGGCTAAGAATCTGATGAACGCTGTCGTTCTCACGGTTAAGGCGTCTTACGTCGCATCGACCAAGTATCCGAGGCAATCGACTGTTACGGTAAGTGCATATTTTTCTCGCCTGCAAAGATTTTTGGGAAATTAGTGAGTGAGGAAAGAGGGAATTGTTCTTCTCGTTTTTTTGTTTGATCCAATCTTCTTAACCCTTTACTTCTAAGTTAAATTATGCTCAAGGTATGAACAACGTATAGAAATCTATGGACTTAAAGGTAACACCACTTGTGAGGTTCCTAAATTATAACTGAATTTAATTTTTACTAATAAGCAAACATTAAATATAAATAAAGAAACAAAGATAATAATCAGACTTTGTACTCATCTACTAAAATCTACTATTTACCATTTGGAGAGCTTATCTAGATTTGTGACACCAAAAGCTACTTTTTTTGAGAGTTTGCACTATTTTAAATCCTCCAATAGTTGAAATAAAAAAATTATTTTCATAAATATTAATAATAAAATTCTTAGAAACAATTACAAAAAAATCAATTATTTACAAAACACATCGAAAATTAAATAATTTTCATAAATAATAAAATTCATCGAAGAATTTAAATTGTTTTTAATAAAATTTTACAGGAATTGCTCAAAAAATGTAATTATTCTTAAAAATTGAATTTCAAGTCGATCCGAGGCCTTTAAATTTGTTTTTTTAAAAGGGGAATTTTGAAAGCGAATATTTGACTTGAAAATTAATGTTTGTAGACAGTTGAGGATAATGGATGTGAAAGAAAATGGGGACAATCGGTTCTGATCTTCTTACCCGTATCCCACAGCCTATCTATTCTCTACTCCGTTTCATCGGTATTTCTCTGACCGCAAAACTAATAGAATTCAACTAATTATATTGAAAGTAGTTATTTGTGTTTTGTTCAATATGGACTTTTTCTTTATGCTTCTTCCCTTTGGTTTTTCACCTTTAAACACGAACAGCCAGTGAAATGTAGTTCTTTTCTTCTAATTTTAGACAAAGTATAATTATCCTGATTATTTCAACATGAATAATTAAAACTAGTTTCTCTATTATGTTATTTTAGGATAAGTAACTTAGACTGCACTCACTTGCAAAATGGTTTCAATCAATTGGCTGCTTTCAAGTTTTGTAAAATTAAATTTAATTGACTATTTTAGTTAAAATGAAGAAACTAAAAAGGACCCTTTTCATATAAGGATCATGTAGAACAACAATTTTTTTTAACCGTATTGTATGTTTATTGCCAATTTTATACAAATGTAATTAGTGAATTAATTTTCGACCCAAGCTAGCCAATTGATTTGTGAACAAGAAAATAAAATAAATATAGTTTCACGAAATAATTATGCTTTTAAGATAGTTGTAGAGTGACAGATTTTTTGAAAAGTTAAAATTGTAAATTTAATTGGTTTGATTTTAAAAAACAATAACTTTCTACATTTATTATTCTTAACTTATTCTTTTGTTTGATAAAGGTGAAGATTTTCGAACATAACAATTCGTACCATTGAAAAACATACATTAAAGTAGAAATTACTCCAACAAAAATGAAATTAGAGACTTTTTCCTGATATTGCTTACAAATAATAAATTTTAAAGGATTACGTTTTTGCTAATAGTCACGAAACATAGTATATTAAGCAACAAGAGGAGAAAGGCAGCCATTTCTTTACGGTGATTTTTGTGACACGAGTGGAGGTCGAGGGCGCCGTAGGCGCCCCGAGACCGGAACGAGTGTCACAAAAATCATTGTAAAGAAATTGGCTGCCTTTATTCTCGTGTTACTTACGATATTTTTTATTCCTAATGCACAAAAGCGGCGATTTCAGATAGCAGACGACAGGGAGTAAAAGTCATTCACTTGTTCGATTTGTATGAAAATGGCGGCCGATTTCTCCCTTGGGCAAGAAAAATGCATGTGAACAGCTAATTTTCTTGCCCTTGGGAGAACACGGCCGCCATTTTCATACGGTCGAAGAAATGAATGACTTTCCTCCCTGTCGGCTGCTATCAGAAAGCGCCGTTTTTGTGCATGTGGGATAAAAACTATTTTAATCCATAAATGTGACTCAATAAAAATAATATTTAGCGAAATATTAGAGAGTTATTTTACGACAGTTTGAATCAAAGTTGTCCCCTGATACCTATTTCTATTTCAGTCAAAAGAATAAATGTTTCAAAGGAAATAATTTGTAATTGTAGATTATATCAATCTAATGGTCTAGAAACAGTATTAATTTAAATTAATGCCTAAAGAAACTTCTTTCTTAATTTGTTTGATTTGTTTTAAAAAAAAGTGACTAAAAGTCAAATTATTATTAATTAAAATTAAAAAAATATCCAAAATCACTCCAGTTCACTTTCACCACTAGTTGTACAATATTCTATTCATAAATGTAAAACCTATTGAATCTCAATTTTCAATTTTTAAATCCATTCATAGAAATTGAAATAATGAATAATATACTTTTATTTGATTGTGAGCCACATTTATCGTAGGTAGAAATTAATGCTAAATTGCGTAATTTGCTAATATAAATCCTTTTATTCCTGTTAACAAACCACATTGGATTTTGCAGTACGTAAGTACCAAAATGGATTTGACTATCTGTTTTAATTGTACTTGAACATGGTTTTATTTAGACTTTAACTTTCAGTGAAGATACTGCAAAAAGATGTACCTTAATTTCAGATTTTTTTGGTAGTCACTTTTTAGTTATTTGAAATATAATTCTTTAAGTTGTTGAAAATATCTTTGTGATTTTGCTTTACAAATTTTCTTGATATTTTTTAAAAACAAAATTTTTAGGCGGCAATTATAGTATCCAGGGAGGGGCTCAATTCATGTTAATTTAATTAAATCAGATGAAACAAAAATTGTGTAAAATGGAAAAGAAAAATATTCTAATTTAATTTCTCCTCATAGATGGCGTTTTTTAATTGCTTTCAATTTAAAACCAAATTTCTAAACAAAATTCTTTTCCTTTTACAGTCGCCAATCGTTGTTTGGAAAATGAAAGCTCCCGAGAAGAAACCTTTAGTTCGACCAGAACGTCCCGAGGAAGTGAGAGCAAAAGTTCGTAAGGGTTCACAGAAGAAGGTTCAAAATCCAATTCACGCCCTTTCCGAATTCCAGAGTCCAACAGAGAGCGTATAAAAATTTACAAGTTGTGAAAAAACAGAAACTTGCTGAAAGTTTACGCAATCTTAAATCCAAATACAAGGTAACATATCGTTTTATGTTTTAAAAATACCTAAGATATATACGCGTCTTTATTCACTTTTTCTAACTTGTTTTCCAAATGTCAGTAAAGATTAAGATAAAATGCAAGTATTGTAAGGAAATAAAAAACATATGAACTTATTCAAATTATTTTTCTTTTCTATTCTTGAAGAGAAAATTTCTGATATTTCTAAAGAAAATATTATTGTAATTATTATATTGAATATAGTTGATTGCAATTAATAACTCTTAAATTCAGAATAAAATAACATTTTTTAAATTTTACTATTTTGTACCAATTTTACAAATTTTAATTACATACATGCACACGGATAAATTCTTTTATATACTTCTTTATTTATCAATTTTATATACAAGTTAAAAAAAAATCCAGTGGTAAGTTTTTCCAGTAAAACTGAATTAAATTAAAAATTAATTTAATTTGAGTTTGCGAGAAAGTTGTTTTCGCAGTAATTTTTGTTGGAAAGTTAAATAACTGAATATGTTTATTTTATTTTTTTATAAAAATATACTTTTTCAAAGAAAAATGAATAATTCTTAGATATTAAAGTCTTTTTCATTTTCTTAATACCTGCATTCTATATTAATCTTAAACTCCTATTTACAAAAAAAAAAGGTTTTTTTTATATAATTTTGTTTATAAAATATTTTTCTGACAATTTTTCTAATAATCGAAATAACAATTTTCATTTTTAGAAAAATATATCAAATTGTTGGAAAATATTTTTTTTGCAATTAACTCGCAAACTTAAATTTTAAATTGTTTTTAGTTTACAAAACTATTCGAACTGGTTTTTCTATTGAGACTTTCATCAAGTTGTACAGAATAGTATTTAATAAATGCCTATAAAACTTGTATTAATTTATAAAAAAAAGTAGCAAAATAGATTTTTTATTAATTATTTTGAATTCAATAATTAAATAATCGTGTTTACAATATTATGGGGATCTTTATTTTTATGAATAACTTTTTACTAAGAAAAGATAATTAAACAATACTCTCTGAATCTGAATTCAATTCTACTAACAAATAGTGGAATTTTATTAATTTTAAATCATTTTCATGAACTTTTCCCGATTTTTATTAGTGAAATATGACTAATAGTTAATGAATATTTATTGATTATTATATTCTCATAAAAAAGGAGATGGTATTTTTTAGATGAATTTCACTAAATGAAACTATTATGTACATTGACTATTAAACAGATCAGTTGGTGTAATTCTATTAACAATTGGTGAAATTTCACTGATTGCTATAGAAATTATTACTGAATCATTTTGGTAAAGGATTTTCCCACATTTTATTAGTAAATTTTTACTACAAATTCAGATTTAGAGAGTAGTATACTTCAGTTAGTTTAGCAGATTCTTTCTACTTAGAGTAAACTTTTTACAATCTTAAGGTAGTATTAGTTTTAGTTTTCAGTCAATAAAAGGGAACTTTTTTTATTTTAATGGCTAGTACCTATTTAAATTTTAAAAGAATATTTTCTTTTTAAATAACAAAAGTATACAAAAGGGATGCTTGATTATCGTTTAAAAATCATTTGATATAATTATTATCAATCTTTTGAAATTTCTTATTTCGAATTAGTATTTAACAGAAAAGATTTATTTCTTATTACAATTTGTTCGAATTTTCGTCACTTCGAATTACATATAAAGAAACTATACAAGTATAAAAAACACAAAAATAATAAAATGCAAGAATTAAAAAAGTACACAAATGAAAAAATAAAAGTAAAAAAAAAGAATTATAAGTAAAAGTATATAAGAAATTCAAGAATAAAGAAATACAAATATGAAAAACACAAGAATAGAAAAGACTACTAGTATGTAAAAAATGAAAAACTAATACTACCTTAAATAAATCTCAGCAAAATAATAAAAACATTCGTGACTAACGATATTTCAAATTAATTATTTTAAAAAAGGAACAAATTTTCTCTTTAGTGGACAGTATTAAACTTTGCAAAAGACTAATTGAATTCAGTACTTAACGCAGTTGTATATAATTGAAACTATTTTTTTTACATTTATTTTTTAGGATCATTTACAAAAATATTTGTTCCAAGTGAAAGTTGAATACTTGATAGAAAAATACTTTTAAAATAATTTTTTTTTCAACTTTTTCACACTGGGAAAATTCAGAATTAGAATTCAATTTGTACAGTAAAATATAGACTTGAAAAAAAAAAAATAAAAACGATATTTGATGTGTAAAATTATTAGATTTCTCAATTATCAAAAATGTTCTCTTCTTGAAAAGCTGGAAACTTGAAAATATTACCGATTAACTAGAACGAAGGATTTTAAACTGTAATTTAAAAGAATTTGAAAATGCTTTTACATTTTTACATGTAATTAGTGACCAGAACAATTAATATTGTTTTGGATTCTTTTGTTGTAATGAAATACGAAAAATTTTTTTCTTAGAATTAGATATGTATTTATATATCGTTTAACAATTTTATAAACATCTAACTTTATATAAGATGTCAAAATTAAGTTATTAATATTTTATTGTAGTAAAAGAAAAACAAAGTATTACTATATGTATCTTCTTCTTTATATAAAGTAATGATGATTTTAATGAATGATTGTAAACATTTTTAAAAATCGATATACATACAATAATGAATTAGTTAATTATGTAGCTTATAGGATTTTTTGCTTTTATACGCATTTTATTTGCGAAATTAAGAGCATCCGTATTTTCTGATGCATTTAAATTATTCGACGAATTTTTATACTTGAAATATTGTAACGTTGCAATTATATATATATATATATTAAAAAAATCGACTGTATACTATGTTGTACGCGTATTCATATGGGTTAATAAAGTTTATAAAAACATACAATTTTTATGAAAAATCATCTTTGTCTTTTTGAATGTCTATTAATTTATTTAAAAGTCTTTTTGGACTTTTTCTCTTTTTTTAAAGAGATTTCAGCATTAATGGAAGCTGTGAAAGAAGTATATGAAAAGTTTCGATCATTAATCCTAACAGATTTCTAAAAACGTCTTTCATTTGAAACTTCTTTTTCAAAATTGATAAATTTTTTTTAATGCTAAAAAGTGATATTATTATTCAATAAATAAAACAAATTAAAAAATTAATTTATTTTCTATGTTTTTCATCACTTATTTCTTAATTAAACTCAAACTGTTATCTAAAGCTGATCCAAAGGACATACTTAGTAGAAAAATATCAAATTTCTAGAAATGATACAAAAATGTTTGTTTTTGGTGTCCTTTGAAATTACTGAATAACTTTCTGAAAATTATTAAAAATAATTTATTTAAAGAAGAATTTTAGTTCAAATTGCTAGAGATTTAATTATTAAATTAAATATATCAGAAAGAGTTGTAGTAAAATTTTTTTAAATTTTGAATTTTGAGTAACTTTAATACAAAATTTTAAAGGAACTTGGTTTTCTGCAAACTTTGCGTTCAACTTTTTTTAAGTTAGTTGAAGTTTTGAATATTTATTATTTAATTAAAAAACTTTTGAATAATCAAAATATCGTAATGTTTAATTGAAAACAATGGAATTCTTTTTTCTAATTACCTAATTAAACTCTGTAGAAGAATTTTATAAAAATTATTAAAAATAATTGATTTATAGAAGAATTTTATAGAAAACTAGCTGTCGTACCCGTCTTCAAAGGGTTTTAGTTTCTACCAATGGGTGATTCTCCACGTAGCGCACGATTTAGTTATTACTATTACTGATGTTTTTTTTCAAATTGAGTAAAAGTCGATATAGAATCTTCAAATTTAGTGTTTATCAATAAAATATCAGTGGTGGGCCGGACAAAATATTTATAATTTTTCTATTTTTTAAATAAATAATTTTTATATATCTGCATATACTTTGCGGCTATACTATCCAGCCGCATGATAAAATGAAAGCACCTGTTATATTTACAGGCAAATGAAATAATAATTATCTGTATGTTATTTCGCAAATTACAATTGTTTAACAATTATTGCTTCACTCTGTTGTTACACGCTGTTCAATACAGAAAAGCCGTACCATGACGCTCAAGAAAAACTGATTTTTTAAACAATTTATTAGCGATTTTCATTCTGTTTCATATTTACGTCATTTATATTCACTGATCTAATACTACTACACTTTAATTGACGTAAAATATAAATAATTATTAATTTTATTGAGAAGTATGTGAAGGCCAGACCATGACGATTCTGTGATTCCCTATGCAAGTTTAGTGCTTTTAATGTGTAAAAAACAAAACAATTAATTCTCAAATTAGTTTCTCTCTTATTAATTTACTTAGGAGAGTTTGTTGTTTAACTCTTTTATAAAAATTAATTCTTATATTTTAATTATTATTATTTGTATATGAGGAAGCAAAGTGTTCATGAAATGGACACCAAAATTATAAAAATGTACAACTTGGCAGCGGTTTTTTTTAGTTTGAATTCAAATTAAATTAAACAATTAAATTTTACCAAATTTTCAATTGTTTGAAAATTTAACTTATTTTTTTTTAAATATTGACAAGAATTTAAATATCTAAAAAATTTTAATTATAATTCATCAAAAATCTTTTTTCCATAATTTCAAAATAAAATTATTCATAACTTAAATTATAAAATTATTAAAAATTATTTCGAGGAATTCACTAATTTCAAATTAAGTATAATAATAATTGAAATCCTGGGAAGAGTTAAATTATTTTTATTTATGAAAATAATTGCAATAAGAATTATTGAATAATTGAATTCCTGGGTAGAATTTTATTAAAATTTTTGAAAATAAATGAATTTTCGTGAATAGTTTTATAAAATTTTTTGAAAATAACTCAATTTTTTGAAAGAATTTTATTACATTGTTTCTAAGAATTTTTAAAATTTTGTTAATATCACAATAAAGGTAAGTAATAAAATAACGCAATTTTATGTCACATACAATATGTATTATTATTATTACATTTTTAATTTCTACATGATAAATGCTATATGTATAAAGAAAAAAAGTCGAAGGGAAAAATTACAAATGCTGTAATTGATTATTAACCGTAAATTGCGGAACATTGCAAAATTCATGGAGCGACATGATTAATTATAAGCCAAGTATTTTTTTCAAATTTTCAAGCCCATGGAAGAAGAAGAAACCGGCAGATATCCTTCTATTTTTTTTTTTTTTTTTTTGTATATTTTTATTTCTTTTTGTCTTTTTTTCAAGCTTATATATATACGTATTTTTTTTTACTTTTCTTTCTTTAACAAAACGCAAATATATCGCTGTCAATATTATTATTAGGAATAAAAGAGAATTTTTTGAAATTTCTCGAATTTGAATAAAAATATTTGTGAATCTAAAACTTTGAGACTTAAAAACAGTAATGAAGAAACAATTTTTGGACGACATGAAGACAGGGCGTTTGTGTGATGTTTTTTTGGTATTACAAAGAAGCGAGTGTGTAATTATTGCGAAAAAAACTAAAATCTAACAATAATTTATAACCAATACCCGAAAGTATGTTTAATATTAACAATTTGTTATTATTAGAGTAAAATGGAAAAAATTTGTGATAGTCAAAAAGTATGATACATACATTAATTTTCACACGAAAAATTTGTTTTACAATAAATTTTTTTAGCTTGAAATATTTGTGATGTTAGTAGAATATTTTTTTCGTAGTCATCTTCATCTCCTTCAATATTTACAAAGGGGATGGAGAAATAACTTTTTTTTGTATATTACAGATTTGAGTCGTGCTCATCTACCCAAAATTAAAACGAAGCAAAAAAGGAAAATATTGGACAATCGCGAAATTTTGAACATGATTAAGTGTCCGAGTATGTAATCTCAAATTCCACACACAATAATCATGTTTTCTCTTTTGGATTTACATACTCACTGTAGATTATGATTTAAACACATTTCGTGCCTGTAAGTAATCAGAAAATGGGCTCGTAGGCGCTCGTAAAATATAATTTACAACAAAATTCCTACCCAATGTGAAAAAACAAGTTGATCTTTATACACTTAATTTGACACTATTTGTGTTTCCATCATTACCTACTTTCTTGAATTTTCTTGAATTCTCTTGAATTTTCCTGAATTTTCTTGAATCGCAAAACACTTTTTTCCTTTTCCTCCTCTTTCTCTCGCGCGCGACAAGTGAAGAGACAACTGAAAGATGGCGGAAGACTTATGAAAATGTAATGCAAAAAAGTACACCTTCCTTTCCCTTAAAGTGAGTATTGTACAAAAAAAGAAAAAAAGTAAAAAAAACTTAGCAGTTAATCGCTGCGATTCAAGATTTTTTTAAAGTACACACATCATTTATTCTATTTCACGATCCGATAATAATTAAATCTGTTGTAAGAACCTATCAACTATGCGAAATTTCCTCATTAAGATTTGTTTCTTGATTCTTTTCTTTCTTTTTATAGAAACTATTCTACAAAGTAAGTAAGCGATGAAGTGACCCAAGGAGCCACTGAGAGAGTCCCTCACAGCCTGAGTTAGACTTTCGTTTGAGATCTTTTTAAGTCTATTTAAATCTATAGGCAAACCAGAATCCAGAATCCACGTTTCAATCCACGTTTCAACAATTTTTCGCAAAAAACCCCAAAAAATTATCAAAAAATTATCAAAAAATTTTCAACTGAAAAAGAGTAAAAACTTGAATTGATTTAAATTAATTTCAACTTAAAAGTTAAATGTTTTTTTTTAATTAAAAAAAAACTAATCTAAAATATTATGCGATGAAGGGAATTTTCGACGCAACAGATTTTCACTGTTACAAAATTGGATTTGGAAAAATTACTGCAAGAGAAAAATATTAACATTTTTTGCACCTCTTTATGAATAATTTAACCGACTTGCTTATCTTTGTACAAAAAAACAAAGACAAAAAATGCGTGGTTTTTTGGTAAATAAAAAAACCAGTTAAATTAATGCCATTGGATGTTAATCGTTATAAATTATAAATATATATGCACTTTCCTTTATCCTTTTCTATTTTGTACGCACACAAACAATGTTGACTTGATAATATAAGATTCAGTTAAAGTAAACGTTTAACTGTGCATTTTTGCTGGGGATTCCGGGCATTTCGGTAGCCCATAATTCTTTTTTTGCTGCAATCAGACATTAGAGGGCCTCCTCTACGACGACTTGGCATTCACTTCAGGTGTCGAACTCGTTGTTACGGTTGTTTTAAACGACGGCACGAACTCTGCTGCGTCAGGATTTAACGTGCTCTGCAACAAGTTTTTTCATTCTTATTATTTTAACAACATTACCTACATTTCTTTTTCTATATGCGAAATCATTTTAACAACTTCTCCAGGGTTGCCAGAGATCAGGGATTTTCATTAAAAATACTGGAAAAAATTTAATTCTTAGAATTCATAAGAAAATTCTCAATAATTTTGGTGTCTATGTAATTGCCACAAATTCTAACACACAACCTTCATTTTTTTTATTTCTGACAATAATTTATTTTTAAATAACTTCCTCAAGGGTAATGTCACCTTGAGTGGACCGCCTAAGCCTTTTTTCGAAAAAATTCTCTATGAAATAAAACGTATATGTTTATCGCGGAACTTAAATTCTTACTGCTTCCGGGAGCAGTAATCAGATCACTTAAAAATTCAGGTGGTCCACTCAAGGTGACATTACCCTACCGGTAAAAATTGAGAGACTACTTGCAAAAGTGTCATTAAAAACGTGACATTCTTTAATTGTAAGTTGATAACTTCATTAAATATTAACTCAAAAAAAGTGCTAATTTTATTCATGTTAATAAAATAAATAAAAACCGCTGCCAAGTTGTATATTTTTTTTATAATTTTGATACTCATTTCATGAACACTTTGCTTCCTCATAAAGATAATAATAATAATAATAATAATAATAGAAATATATGAATAACTTTTTATAAATATGGTAAAAGTGATTGAATTTTGGGCAATCAATGTATTTTTAAATACCCTACAAGATAGTTATAATAATTTAATAGCTAGTTAAACAAAAATTTTCAAACCAAAATGTTGAGAAAATGTCATTTTCCACAATTTTTGGTTTTTGAAAATAGGTACTAATAATTTCGAAATTTATTATCGAATCAGGTTCAAAAATAGGTCAATCGAAGCGTTTTTTAATGCTCTACAAGATGGTAACAATAATTTTAAAGTTACTTCTACATTTTTCAACAAAACTTTCAAAACAGACTTATTTTTAAAAATTTTTGGTTTTTAAAAATTTAATATCTCCGGTTAATATGGACGAAAAATGTTCAATTAGGGCTCAAATGATGAGTCTAAAAAAACTCTACAAAATTATGGAAAAACATTTATAGGTGTCCTAACATTTTTTTAAAGTTATGGGCAAAAAACTTTTTTTTGCAAAATTAAAATTCCAAAAAAAATTTAGTTAAACTTTATTAATATATCAGAAAGTACTCTCATTTTATGTCCGCAGGTGAGATCTACAATTTAAAAAAAATTCAACCCAAAAGCTCTTGATGATTTCGAGATATTTATGAAAATGTGATGTTTACACACACACACACACAATGACATTTTTGAATTCCTGAGGTCAAATAACATAAAGATATGTCAAAAAATCGAACTCGATAAATTTTGGCATTACAATACTTCCTCTATGAGGAAGTAATATATTATAAATTGAAAATTTGACAAATAATAATGATTTAATTACTGTTAATTTAAACTTTTTAGGAATATTACACATGTGTTATCTCCGATTCTATTTACCAAAACTGGCTTAAAAAAAATTTCTACGTTAATATTTAATGAAGTTATCAACATTTAAAGAATGTCATGTTTTTAATGACACTTTTGCAAGAGCTATCATAAAATTATGTATGGAATAATTTTACTTAAATATTTCAAAATTAAGTGAATTTTAGAAGAGTTGCGTTTACAATATTTTCAAAAATAGATAAACTTTAAATGGTTTGAATTTGACATTTTAGAAAATTTCAAATTTTAATGAATTTAATTAGAATAGATATATTTAATATATTATTAAAAATAATGGATTTATAGAAGAATTTTAGTTGAAAACACTAAAAAATTGAAATTTGGAGAAGTTACAAATTATTAGAGAAATTCAATTATTTTCAAAAGTTATAAAATTCTTAGTGAAATTCAATTGAGGGCGTGGAACGGATAACTGCCTGTAGCGCATGGTCGAAAGGGACTATATCAGTCAGACCAAGTCTTCTTGAGTCAGACTGTAGTGAGCGCCTCTAGGTCTCTCACTGATGTCTGACTGGTATAGTTCCTTTCGACCATGCGCTACAGGCATTTATCCGTTCCACCCCCTCAATTATGTTCAAAAATTTTTAAAAATTGTCGTCAAAATTTCAATTATCTTTATAAATAATAAAATTCTTCTCCAAAATTCAATTATTTTCAAAATTTTTCCTCAATTCAATGACTTTCAGTATCAGTATCAGTATTTTATTTTAATAAAATTTTCCAAAAGAATTTTTTATAAATTTCTTCCCAATAATTCAATTATTTTCATAAATAATCAAATTTTTACATGGATTCAATTATTTTCGTAAATAATTTATTTTTGTATTTAAATAATTGAATTCTCGTTGAATTTTTTAATAAAGTTTTCATTGGCCCCTCGAATAGCGAAGATTTGCTGAACGCGGGGCCAACGAAAGATGCGTAAGCCCTTTTGGTAGCCGGCGGATCAATTCTATAGAATTAATTTTTTTGAAAAAAATGTAGTTGAATTTTTTTTTGGAAATTATTTAAAGTTTTTATTTTCTAATATATATTTAATTGAAGAATTTTCGAATAATCGAAATTTCGTAAAATTGAATTGTAAACAAATGGATTTGAAAATTCTTGAAGAATTGAATTTTCTCTAAGAAATTATTCTGTTATTTGTTTATTAAAAGTGTTTAAGTAATTAATGGATGGAGGAATAATTGTTTGTTTAATACATTTTCATTAAAGAAATCATAAAATATTCTTTTTATCCCACAGGCACAAAAATGGCACTTTTAGATAGCATTCATTTGTTCTACCGTGTGAAAATGAATGCCATCTTCAATTACTTTTACTCTCTGTCGTCTGCTATTTGAAATCGACACTTTTTTTTGTCTTTTTAGAGGTTTTCATGGTATAAAATAAAAATAAATAAAATAAAAAATTGTTAAGGTCATGTTATTCAGTGTGACGTTTTTCCTTAGTAAAGTATATGGGGCACGTGACCACTGAATAACATAACCTTAAGGAATTAATATTCTGATTGAATCTGAAATTGATTCTTTTGAGTTAAATTCGATCAATGCAAGGTAGAAAAAGAAATATTTTTAAATAAACAAACTTCGCTGTTTACAATAGCCCCAACCACGGTTGGTTGTTTTAAATCTGCTCTCAATTATTGTGTGCATGTATTATATGTTCATTCTCAATCTTATTGATCGTTATTTATGTGCTTAAATCTTTTTTCAGGCTTTACTTTATCATTATTGTATTTCACAGGCCGACAAAATTTCATCAATTGCATGTTGCCTAAAATGTTATTGCCGATTCTTATAGGATTTTGTCCTTAGAATCCAAATTTGACCTTGAAAATATTGGATTGGCTCTAGTTTTCAAGCAGCTTACGTTTCAATACGCAAAATACGCATTTTTGGCATTTTTTGAATGAATGTAAAACCAAATACTGAAACAGTAAATTTGTCCGCATAGGACCAAATTAAAGCTTAAATACTGCTCTTTAATATCCAAAAACAAAAAATTTAATTTATATACAATTTAACCTTTAATGTCCAATGGGACATACGCTGTTCCATAAACGTATTGAAAATAACATTACTTTTGACCAGGTAAGGCAATTTAAGTAAAAATTAGTCTCTCTGAAGGTTTTTGTGGTCGCTGCTTATAAATCTGCTATGAAATATAAAAAATTAAAAATTTCGGACTAATTTTTAAAAATAGTTTACACCTTTATGATAAAAATGTCAAATAAAAAAAAAATTCGCCATATTAAATCCGCCATTTTAAATATTAAAATCTGAATACGGATTTCTAAGCAGCGACTACAAAAACCCCCAGAGAGACAAATTTTTACTTAAATTGTCTTACCTGGTCAAAAGTAATGTTATTTTTAATACGTTTATGAAACAGCGTATGTTCCATTGGACATTAAAGGTTAAAGCGTATATAAATTAAATTTTTTGTTTTTGGATATTAAAGAGCAGTATTTAAGCTGTAATTTGGTCCTATGCAGACAGATTTACTGTTTCGGTATTTGGTTTTACATTCATTCAAAAAATGCCAAAAATGCGTATTTTGCGTATTGAAACGTAAATTGCTTGAAAACTAGAGCCAATCCAATATTTTCAAGGTCAAATTCGGATTCTACGGACAAAATCCTATAAGAATTGGCTTCCATTGGTTGGGCAACAAAATTTTGTTGGCCTGTGATTTTTTATATGTAATCTTGATTACTGTATTTTAATCGTTCATATGGTTCGCTTGAGACAAAATAAAGATATTATTATTGCATGAAAATAGCTTTTCTAACCATAATAGTCCAGGTTGGGGTCTATGTAAATTATTTCATTTATGTAACTTTTACTTAAGAAAAAAAGAAACGAAATATTGTGAAACTCGAAAGACTGAAATAGAATTGAAAATTTGAAAAATCAACATAATTTAAACGGTTGGAATGGAATGCAAAATGCAGAATGGTTTGCAAAATGTTAATAAATAAAAGTTTAAAATTACTCGTTTCGCAAGGTCGTCATGAACTCTAAGACTGCCGAGTTGTTGACATAATTCAGCGCCGTTGTTTTCGAGAGTGCTAGTAGCAGTTGACCATGCTGCAGAATTTAAATTTCTCTGGTGCTGCCTTTCTTCTTCCAACATTGCTTCTAAGCACTCCTCCATGAGTTCTTCCTCCTCAAGTTGTTGAAGAACCTAAAATTACAAATTTTTCATTTTCCTCTTCCCCTTAAAAACTTGTATCAGAAAAAATGACTCATTTAGTATTTTGGGTTAAGTTTAAATTTAACTTCGAAAATTTTTCTAACGATTTGCAAACTAAAAAATAGAAAAAGAGGTGAAAATTAAAATTTTCTCAATAATAAGCTTATTAGCTTTAAAATAGGAAAAAAAAAATTATTTTTAGGGATTCTTTTTCATTGAATCTCAATTATTGTTAAACTAAAGTAGGACGAAAATTGGGTACAAAATGGAAAAAAGAACATGAATTTTACTTGTTTATCGAATTCTTCCTCATTTTCCATCCACATGTACTCCGAAAAATCTCCGTCACCTCCAGCTTGAACGTCAGCTTCTGCCTCTACATTGTCCAGGTAAGATATTACGCCATTGTCATGGCCATAAAATCCGTTGCCGGATCCACTGTTTGGTATCTTCATTATCATACCAGCTTCCTATTCAACGCTAAAAAAATTATTTCTTTTTAAATTTTTTCACTTTCAACAATCTCTTCTATTTGCTTTTTTGCATATATATATAAATTTCGTAGCATTTGAAAGTTGCGACTGTTCTTTACTAAAAAAAAATACTCTTTATGTAAATATTTGTACATAAACATTCTTTGTTATCTTTTCATATCTAATCATAAAAGAGGCTTCTGATATGAAACACAATAATAAAATGAAAATGCAGTTTCTTTTAGATGCAATATCTTTGTGTGAAAATAAAAAATTTGAGAAAGAAATTTAAAAAAAGTTTCTTCCTTTTTAATTTTTATCAAATTGCTGAAAATTTTTAAAAATCCTACATTTCTCAACTTTTTTTCAAATGATTTACAAAAGATAATTTTTAGATTGAAAGAAATGTATAAAAAGATTATTACTATATTTTCAAAAAATTCTCAATTTGTGGATAACTTTCTGTGGAAACTGTTAATCTTTCTAAAGTAAACGTTGCACATCGATAATTTCAGACTACTTTTAATGTTATTTACTTATTTTAATTATTTTTTTTACTTCTTTTAATTTGCATTTTTATGCAAAAAAAATATTTTGTACATTAAAAAAATTAATTCTCAACTAAATAAAATTTACATATTGGATTGGAATTTCAAATAATTTTAAGTTTCCAGCTATTGAATTCGATTTTGACTAATTTAGAATGAAAACAAAATTAAAATGCAGTAATTTTAACATTAAAAAAAAAGAATAAAATTAGAAAAAAAAATTTCTAATTAAATTTAAATACATTAAGTTTTTAAAAATTATATTTAAAAAAAGGAATAAAATTTTTAAAAAAATAAAACTAAAACAAATAGAAATTTTATTAGATCAAAATTTGTAAAAATTGAAATTCATGAACTAAAATTTGAATAAATTGAATTGAAGATTGGTATTAAAATATTAGAGAAATTTTAAATTTAGATCAATTTTTGTTTTAATCACAATATAAATGCTTTTCAATTTAAAAAAAAATAAAATTTAGAAGTGAATAATTTTTGAATCGATGAAAAACTTTTATAAACTGAAACTTTGATTAATTTTAAATATTTAAATGACAGAAAGCAAAAGGTGAAAATCTGTAATTCTGTGATACCGAAATTAATTTAACCTCCCAGGAATGTAGTTAAATAAAATTCTCAACCTAATACATTTTTTTTTTCAAAATTAAAAATTTCAAATTCTGAGCTATTATATTCAAGGTAAATAATATTTTTTTATAAAGTGTGCAAAAAAATGCAAACAGAAGAAAATTACCAAGATTTTGTAGGATTAAAAATTTTCGCAGCTTTTATTTTAAAGTTGAATAAAAAACATTAGTTCAGATCGTAATTTTTTTTATCAGATTTCAAATTTTCAGGTATTATTTTAAAGATGAATGAATCTTTTTTTAAAATATGAAAACTACAAAAAGAAAAAATAGAAATTATCAAAAGTTTGCAGAATTTAAAGTTTTTATATCTATTATTTTAATTTTTACCGAAGAATCTGACAAACAATCGGAACAAACGTTAGTCCAAAGTTGTAATTTCGTATTTTAAAAGAAAAAGACAAATCAAATTTTAAATTTCTTTTGGTAGAAGCGTAAAGAATTTAATTTTCAAAATTATAATAGTTAGGCAGCATAACCTAAAATTTTACAAATATTTCATATTGACAAAAAAATTATGGTTTTTATTCAAATTCAACTTTTAATTTATGATGGCAGTTTATACGTTAATAATAAAAATTTACTAATTCTTTATTTAAAGACCTTTAATTCTTTAAAGTGGTGAATATTGTATGATTTACTTTTCTATTAAAAAGAATTAAAAATTTAATTTGTCGTTTTCTTTCAAAATACAAAATTATGACATTGGACTAACTTTCCTTTTGACTGTCAATCAAATTTTTCCTTGAAGATAAATAATCATTTTCTTTTTATGTAAAGAAATGTAGAAAAATATAAAAGAATTTTTAAAACACACGAAAAAGGTAAATAATTATACAAAAAAAGGTAAAATAAATGAGAAAATTTTAAGGTAAAAAATAGACAAACTTTGACAAACGTGATAAATTTTTATGTCGGATATAAAATATTTGTCAAACTGTTAAAAACCGGGAATTACTTTGAGAAAACGAATATAATATTTAAATCAGTGTATTGTATAATATACAAGTGTCAAGAATCAAAACAATAAACATGTACAGTGTAAAATTCACAGTTTGTAAACTTGGATAAAGAAAAAATAAACTCAACACTGTTTACACTAGTTTGGCACATACCCACTCGGCAAAATTAAATCCCACTTTTAAATCAAAGAAATAATGCTTTTTGTCTAATTATAAACTGAAGAAACACAATATATACGTATCTAGGGAAAATCATTGCTTTTGTCAAAAAGAAAAATTTTCAATTTTTATTTCCTTTTTCTATAAATAAAATGAAATTCTTTTTTGAAAGCATTTTCACGAGAACACAAAGAATATTTCCAAAGGTCAAAATCCATGTTAATGTTTTTCCCTAAGAGAGAGAATTTTCAAAAGGAAAAAAAAACACCAATTACCAAAAGATGCGTTGCAATTTGAGAGTAGGATAAAAAAATATGGTAAATTTCACAATATTAAACTTTCCTTCCCGGAAAAAAAGAGCCGATTAATATCACACTTATATGCGTCGTTTTGTAGCGACCTACAAGTTTTATAGGTGATCAGAAAATAATTTGTAAAGCACGACAAACAGACGAGGCGAGACTGAAGGCTTTGAAAAGGTTGCTGACCAAATAAAACCTTGGGAACTTTTCAAATTGCCTTGAAACGATCAACCAATAAATACTTGAATAGTCACTTCTTGTTTGTCATAAATTTTTGCTCAACACACATATGGGAGACTGCATAATAGTTTACCTTTCGGGAATATTTCTTTTACATTTTATCATTAATCATTAAAATACTAGAAAGAAAGGGGAAATTTACCTTTGAATTTAAAAAGTCCAAATAAAATGGGAAATAGACTTGTAAATTTTGTCACTTTAGAAATTCATTTATGAACCCGAAGAAAGTGGAACGAAAAACTAATTGACAGATCACCCAAGGGGCGACCATTTTTTTTCTCTCTATCTCGCTCATAGCGATATCACTTGGAAATAATTTTTGTTTGTCAAATTTTTACACTGTACATTTTATAATTATAGTGAAAATAAAATCGGAGATGTTAATTTCTTTCCATAAATACGTACCTTATGCTTGTTTTTTAATGATGATTCGCACACAAACTTCGATTTACGCAGTAACAAGTAAAAATATGTCGCACAAAACACAAATTAATTCTCAGCGTTTTCGACCAGTGGTGCCATCTGTCATTCTTTCAGTCTCTTAGCAGTAAAACTTCTCTATTTTTCTTATCTAAAGTCCAATTCTCCAATTTTTTAATAAAGTTTTTTAAAAATACACAAACAAATTAGTAATTTACAAAATTAATATTATTACTCTTATCGGGTTACTTTAGTTTTTCTCCTTTTTCCTTATATTCTTTAGACTCAAATATAAAACACACAGCTGCTTTCTGACACACATATTACATAATATTGCTATTACTTTTTCATATATTTATTATTCTCATCAGTATCATCAATATGTTTATTAATATATTCATTAGTATGATTATTACATTTAATTATTAATGTTAAAAATTAAAATTAATAAAAATTTTCTGGTTTGTAATTTCATAAACGATTTTTTGAATTTACGCGCCTTGAACAGTCATCTACTGCATTTCTACTGCGAACAAGTCAAAACACTAACTTTTTCATATTTGTTTATTTTTATTAAGAAATTGTTTTTATATGTTCATTTGGTACCGTATATTTATTAATATATTGAATTATTAATTTATAACAATTAATAAAAAATTATCTGAAATTATAAAAATAACATTCGGTGTATAATAATTTTACAAGGGGTTTTTGAATATACGCGCCTTGAACAGTCATCTACTGCGAACTAGTCAAAACATTAACTTTTTTCTACTTTGTTTATTAGGAAATTACTTTCATTTCAGTTAATAGTTCCTCTTTCGGTAAAAAGTACAATAAGGTGTGTGTTATTATCCATTTTGATCGACAGGAGAATGAAATTCAAGAAACAAGATCCGAATGTTAACAGTCCTATTGACTGTATTTACATTTGAGACACTCGGTTTCTGATTGGCCGGAATATTCTGACATTCTAGTGTGACTAGTGTGTTGACGTTTTTTCATCAAAACAAAGCATTGTCTGGAGAGTTGCATTTTATCGCGGCAATTTGTAGAGTGAACATAGTAGTAGAGTAAAACTCTCGAGTTCGGAAGATTTTCTGTGTGTTTGTTAATTGTCGTGCGATATTGAAGAATTTGGGTGTTTAATCAAACGGGAGATTTCGCTTAGGACAACATAGGAAATATGTCGTCAAAGGGAAAGTTTACTGTGGACGAACTTCTCGGCGGTGAGTTAAAAAGTCGTCTTCCTTTACAATCGCGGCAAGGCAGCTGTCATTCTGACATAGCGGCCATTTCGCGTGGCCTCGCACTCGATACGTAAACAAAACGCAGCAACAATCTTTTTGCGTCGCAGGCACTGTCACAATAATTATTGACATCATTTTAATTTTAACAGTTTCTTCTATTTTTAACAAGTATTTTTCAATTATACAGAAATTTGATAGTTAAAATTAACATTCTTTTTTGTTTTCAAAATGTAAATAATATATATCTTTTTCTGACTTTTGGCGCCTCGGCTATATCGAAAAAGTCCTGTTGCTGTTGGCGTCGCTTTTATCACGACGTTATTTATACTATATACATATATTGACAATTTTTACATAGTTTAACGATCTGACATTAATTTTAACTAAATGTTTTATTATACAAATTTGGTAATTTTAAAAACAATTAATTGGATTTTAATGAATTCAAAAAGTAAACATACGAAGGCGTAAATGTAAATGAAATGATCAGATTATAAATAATTTAATATTTTCAAATTAAATAAAGAGAGGGGGGCTTAATTATTTTTATTAAATAAATTTAACAATAATTTATTGTAAAATGAGTTTTTCAGAGAAAGAAGAAATTTATTTTGTTGACAAACATTAAAATTTCTTTTCTAGCCACATACTTTTTATTTTTTTATTGATAAGCAGAATAACCAATAGTTTAGAGTCAAAAATATTCTGTAATAATAAATCCAGAAAAATAAGATTTCTAGATTGTTTGAGAATTTTTTATTTTTTGAAAAGTGAAATTAAAAAAAATTATTTTAACAATTTAATAAAATTAAAAAAAATATACCTATTTTTGATTATTTTAATAATTTTAATTTTTTTAAAAAAGAAATTTTTTTGAAAATTTATATTTAATTCTATTAAAAAGTGTTTCAAAAAATTATTGATTAATAATAAAAGTTATGAAAAAAGAAGTTCAATTGTTAACAATTGGTGCAATAATTATATTACATACAATAGTAAAGACAAATAATGTCTTTTGTCAAATTAAAATTTTTGTTTTTAAAAAATTATTTTTTGAAAAAGTAAATTTAATTCTTTTTGAAAATTAAATAAGTTTTTTTATTTAAATTTTATTTAAAATTTACATTTTTTAAAAATAATTAATAACTTTAAAAATCTATAGGGTTGATGTTTGAGAACCACGAAAACACCTGTAAAAAAATTGATGAAAAATGAAAGAAATTTTCAGAGAAGTTCAAATTTTTATTTTTTAAATAATTTAGGGGTTCTACTAACAATTAATTAACCATCTTTTTTATTTTCCAAGGTATGACATGATTATATATTTTTGTAAACAATAATTTACTTTACTCGTTGAAATATTTTATAGAACCGAAATCATTTTAATTTTAAGACAAATATTTTGTTCAAAAATTATAAAAAGTACGAATTTGATTTATTTACTACTTTTTGAATAAACTATTTTTCACATTTTGAAAAGAGATATTGAGGGATTTTTTAAAAGTCGTTAATTAAGATTTTCAGGAGAGATTTAAAAAGATGAAAATGGCGGATCCAATATGGCGGCTCTTGATCATCAACTTGACGAAAATGTTATAAAATATGACCTGAATAAGAGAATTAATGTACATTATATGATAAAAATTTTGCTAGTCCTAATGAAAAGGAAAAAATGAACTTAAAAATAGTTGAAGAAAGTTTATTCGACTATAATTTAAAAATGAGGAAATGAATCCATTATATTCGTGTAATTTGAAGAATGCAAATTGTGGCTTATTTGTAATTATATATATAAAGAAAGGAAGTTTTTTTTACGGAAGAAAACGTGCGCGTGACTAACGAATGTGTTTGTTACAATTTCAACATTTGTAAATTACCTTTGATTATACGGTTTTATTTTATAATAACACTAATTATTTTTTATTTTATCTATTGATTATTTCTATTCTATTATTTAAGCTTCATAATTGTAACTTTTTTAGTACTGTATTTGTTTTGATTCGCAAATAGATTTTTCGAAACTCTTGAACGTTCAAGTGAACAACATAATATGTTTTGTGCTGCAATATTTTTAAAAATTACAATACTGAAACGAAAAATACTGTAATTAAACATTTATTTAGTTAACAACTTTTTTTTAGTTTTAAAAAACAATATTTTCTAAATAATACTGTTTAATTGAAAGAAATTATAAAAATATCGTCGGTCATAAATGAACGTTCTAAACTTTAAAGACATGCAAATTGTGCAAAAAATAAAAAAATTAACTTTGAAATTTGGCCTATGGAATTAATTAAATACAGTCGACTGTATGATTTTATTTTAAAATTCTAAAAAATAATTTAATTTTTAAATTTTTAAAAACAATTAAACTTCAAAAGGTTGAAGTTATTAAAAAATTTAATTCTTGTGCAAAAATAAATAACAATTTAAATATTTTTTAACAAGAATTGAGCCGCAGCGTGCAATAACAATAACAGCTACGCTCGGGCTGTCTTTCCGAATCGAAATATCTACTTCAAAATCCACGGCGGGGACTAGATCTGGCCAATAAGAAGACTGCATTCGAAGTAGATATATTGCGGTTGAGGAAGACAGCCCGAGCGTAGCTGCTATTATTGCACGCTGCGTGACGCTGCGGCTCAATTATTGAAATTTTGAAAAATTTCATTTAGAAATTCTGAGAAAAATGAGGTTCTTGTAAAATTGTAATTAATTTTTTTTTAAGAATTCAACTAAATTCCCAAAAATGATGAAAAAATTTAAAACAATTGAAAATTTTGTCGACATTTAATTGAAATCAATTTTTATGTTTGAAAGTGATTGAATTTTATAGAATTTTAGAATTGAAGTTATTAGCCGAATAAGAAAAGAAGTTGACTATGATACTTTTTTACTTAATAATTAACGCGACTTTATGGAAAAATGTCCAGTTGATGATTTTATGTTTCCTTTTCTTCTTTGTACTTTTAAAATTTCTTTGTAAAATTTAGTTCCATTTTCTAAAAATACTTTATATTCTTTGTCAAAGCTTTCATAAAAGTGGGCGAAGGTGAATGTATGAACCTATTTAAATACTGTCCGATGTTAATGCATTGAAATTCGACGTGTGTGGGAGTGTTTAATTTAAAAAAAATTGAAGCATTAATTTTCTGATTCATTTAAATTTTAAAAATACACAATAATATAATTGAAAACTTGTTGTTTCATTTTAATTTTATAATTTTTTTAGTTTAATTTAATAGCTTCTGTCTGCTGGATCGCAATAATTATAATTTCGTGCATCATGTACATACGCTAGTCAATAAAAAACAAGTATTGACAACCGCAAATTCCAGCATTGCAAATCAACATTTGAGGTGACCGAAAATTACATTATGTATAATATTCATTTGAAAAATGTTAGCTATAGTTATAATATTATTAGATTTATCTATCAATGGGCGGATTTCACATATTAAATTTTTACCAGCATTTTATCAAAATAAGTGGGAGTTTGAAATCGAGTTGGAAAATTGGGGACACTTGATACCAATGTAGTGATAAGGGTTCAAATTAAAAGTTTGTCAATTGTTTACATTATCACATGAGAAAACACCTTTAAATTTAATTTTAAGTAAAAATTTTCAATCTGAAAACCTTTCTTTCCGCCAAAAAGAAGAAACATTAAACAATTTGTTACAAATATGTCACTCATGACTCAGTTTCCGATATAATGTAATGCTTTAGATATATTTTGTCAATTACTCGTACTCGTTAAGCGGTTAAGTTTTCAAGAACATTCTACAGTTTCAAAGAGTTAAAATATGTTGACCAATTTACCGAATTTTAGATTATATCATTTTGCTGCAATTCATAGTTTGTACTTATAGTTCCTAAGAGAACTTGTTCTCGAGTTTCAGTAACTGAACACAAGTTGCTATCAACACCTTCCGGAAGAATATTATTTAGCAGATTTGTGTTGATTAAATTTCCGCTATCGAAGGTAGTTTCCTCTTTTAATTTATTCATATTATTAACTATACCTATTGTATTGTTAGCAATGTTAACTATGTAACAGAAGATGGTTTATTACACTCTTTATAAGTAGATCGTGCGATTAAACTATCAGATAACAAGTTTCATAAAGAAAAGGGGCCGTTCATAAACTACGACGTCACACAATTTTGCATAATTTTTCCACCCCCCCCCCCTCCCTACCCACGTCACAAATTTTACATGCTTTAGCGCCATTTTTTCTACAGAACGTCACAAAAAATGAATTCCAACCCCCCTCTAAGGCGTGACGTAGTTTATGGACAGCCCCAAATCTCAAAATAATTGAGAAGAAGAAGAAGAAGTTGATCAAATGTAATTTACTTCATTCTGCGAAGCAGTTGATTAAAATCAACTGAAATCTCAAAGTTAATGTTCCATTTTCATTACAATTTTATTAAGTTTTCCGAAATATATTAAAAAAATTACATTGTTAAAAATCGAACTCCAACTTTACATCGAAAGATTGAAAATTTTATAGTTTCAATCTCAAAAATTGTGAATACTATCATTTGATTGGATTAATTAAAAACTTTAAGCCAATAATGCAACGCAAACGCAAGCATTCAATCTTTTTTCCGAGTTATTAAATTTTTCAATTTTTTTCTGAGTGATTAATGTTTTGGACTTGTAGTCATTCGAAGACTTTTTATTAATTTTAAAACTCGTAGAATGTCTTTACTCCTGATATAGTTATAGAAATTCTATTGCCGTAACTGTGAGAATTTAATTCACATTTGTAGAAAATTAAAAATAGATGAACAACTCAAATAACGCAGCACTTGTTCCACAGCTGAAGGAATATATATATATATTTCATGTGTGCATTTGCGGTGAGAATGCAGCTTTGTTGTGCTTGTGCTCCATCTCTCTTGCATTTATATGGATTACTTTACTAGCAACAATGTATTCTTAATTTAATACCCTTTTAATCAAAATAATCC